ACGATATTAAGTGAAAGTGTTTATTGAATAGGATTGTAATTCATCCAATATGGCAAGCTTTATAACTGTCCATATTATATGTAATAAACATTTGTTATTTATATTCCAGGAGTAGGAAGAAGAATCTGAAATTAATAGTTAATTTGCTATCCAACAAGCAAAGACTGATACTTACTGAGATGAATAAGCTATGGTGAACCTGTATTTGCATTTAAGACTTATTATATTTCAGTATGAATATATGTGTTGCTTTTTAATGGTACTGTTCTCAGACCATTCTGGCTGAGTATGTAGAAGAAGTCATCAAAAGGCGAAGTGCATACAGAAGCAGCATGCTCATTAACGTATTAGAATGTGCTTATTATTTTTGGTTGAGTAATATCTGTATAATTAACCAAACTAATTTCACCAATATCTAGCTAACTCACTAGAGCATATGTGTTATTTTATATAAGAGAAATAAAGTTCGAATAACCCTGAATCTAAACTCTGCTTACAATATTTAGTTCAGGAAGAGAATTCATGTCTATTACATCAATACCATATAAGCCTTGCACTATGAAAGCATATTGTTTATTAGAGCCATATTTGGCTTTTATAATATTTTCTCCTCCATTGGTTCTAGAAAAACTAGCTAATTGTGGGTTTTTCTTATTTGAAATATCCACAACACAAATAACACTAGCTCTTTCTACAGCGACAATATAATTACTATCATGAGAAATAATCAATCCATTTGCAATACCGCCAAATATTCCATTTTAGAATTACCACTAGCTAATTTATGTAAATTTACCTATAGTGGTACTATTAAACAAAACAAAGCTAAAATGGTTATCAAACACAAAGAGTGTCTCATCATCGCTCATGTCCATAGAATATGAATAAGAAGGATCATCAGATGGTATAGATTAAATTAAAATAGGGTTTGTTCTATCTGTTATGTTATATATATTCATCATGGTTGTCAAAGTTTGAATAGGGACTGCCAAATAAATATGGCTCTTACCAAAGAGAAAAAATGAATCTACAGATCCTCCACTTATATTAACTGGTATTTAATATGCTGGAGTCATAAGCTGTGGAGACACCCTCAAATCCATTATTGCCAAGCCTTAATCTTAAGAACTCTAAAAGAGAAATTAATTATTTATATCTACAGCTCCAGTCCACCTCCATCTGCTGTTTCCTGCATTGACGCTAGTCGATTTTTGTACATTCAATATATTAGGTACATCTAAATTTAAATTTGGTTCTGATTTTTTAAAGGCTAGTAACGAATTTCCATTAGAATAATAAAGATACTATTACTATGAATCTTTAGATAAAATGAGACTAAGTGAATCAAGTGGAGCTGAAATTATTTGGAATAATTTAGGGTTCAATTTGTTAGAAATGTCAATAATGTAAATACCAACAGATCTTTGCCCAACCATCACATAATTTTCATTATTTGTCATAGTAATAGCCAAGCTATTAGGTGCACTATTGTGATCAATCCACCAACGGCGAACTACTAAGGGAGGAGTATCCACAGTAAAATTTGTAAATTAATTTTAAATATACTTTTATTAAATAGGATACAAATCAATAATACTAAATCCATCCCAATATTCAACTATCATGACATACCTTCCATCCTAAGTTATTACAAAGTAACTAGGAGAAACAGAAGGTGATATTGCAACATTAATTAAATTCAAAGTCTTTTGCGCATTTGTCTGGTCTTACCAATAAAAAACCATAAGACCATAATTATAATCAGAAAGTATTATCCACAACATATCCTTTGTAATTTTGAGTCCTCTCAAAGTAGACTAAACAGTATAATTAGCTAATATACTTATAATTTAGTTGTCTCTCTTGCTTATATCAACTAATGTAAGCAGTCCAGAAAAATGGGCAATTATTACTCGATTCTCATTTTCTAGTACTTATATTCTTTGTATTTAAGAAACATCTGTCTTATTCTAATAATATTAATACAAGCCATATGAATTATTTGAATATAAAAATTAATATACACAAAAAGTGTTATTAATACTTAAAAACACATGCTAACCATCACTAGTCACTGCGATTGCTTAATAAAGAGGGCCACTCAACTTACCTTAAAAGATTAATTTATTATCATTATTTGAATCAAGGATTATGAGTCCTTCTACTTCAGCTGTTGCAAAAACAAACCCTTTCTTGCTTGCTACCTCTATGAATTAAATTTAGTTAATCCTGTCGTGAGTATCTACCTTATTTGAGTAAGTAGACGAATATATAGAAGAAAATTATTGTAAAGACTAGGATAGAGAGATTTAGATAATATTAAATAGTATTATTGTAGCTGCATTTGCAAATAATTTCATTTTATATTTGGAGTTGATGCTAATCAATCAGAGAATTAAGCTAAAAATCTTGCTTTAAAAGAAAGAAATATACACTTAAATTTGTTTACTTATTAAAATCTTAATTATATTATTGTATTCATAATCAATTATATATTAATGAAAAGCATATTTTATTTAGAAAATCTAAACAACTCTCGCATCTAACCAAAGCATGGCTAATTATAAAATAGCAGAGGTCAATTAAAAGTAAATCAGAATGAATAAAACAATCAAATATTACCATTAAAAATTAAGAATCTGTATATCGTTTATTTTCGCCTAAAAACTACACAGAATTTAATTATTCATGCTCCATATATTTATATAAGATTTGCCTATGAATTATGAATTTTAATCAATATTGATAGCTCTATCACTTTAGTTAATTAAAAAAGCATATATTTTAATTACAAAATTTCAAGATACAAAAGATAATTTGCTTGTAAATTATTTTTGTAATCCTCATTAAATTAAATAGCATGAATTTTATTTAGTATTTACACTGAAAAGTAATTAGCTAAAACTCTTTCTTTTTACATTTAAATAAAAGGAAAGAATATGATGTACATGAAAAGATAAATAATAACCAAAGTTATAGTTAATTTTTCTAATTATTTACAAGTTTTAATATTTTTGTGAAAATATCATTTTATTTATCTTTCCAATATGAATAAGTTTGTAAATTATTGAAAAAAACTCAATTTTTCTAAATATGTGAAAATATAAATTATTATTCTTTTATAAAGACTAAAAAAAATTTAGAAATTGATAGTTTTTGAGTCTGGCTCTTTAATTGAATTATTTTTCTTTCAATTATTTGCATTTAAAAATTCTTAATGCAGTATCAAAAAAATTTGGTAAAACAATATTTTGATTAATAAAAAAATCCTATTAATTTATATAATAATGATTTATGAAAGACTACAAAAACTAAAATTAATTAGCAAAACAATTTAAATTTTTTTTTCTTAAAATCTTAAATCTGTTATTTTCTTAATAGCATTAATTATATTGTTTTTACTTCAAATCCACTCTATATTTTTATACTTTTATCTATCATCAAATTTTTAAATAAACTTAATTATGTTTTTATATTTGTTATTTTTATTATCTATATTCTTGTTAATTAGTTTACTCACTTTAAACAATAGAAAAATGATGATATTATTATTACAAAATTAAAAAATTAATTTACAAATTACTTTTAAATGGTGTTACTTAATTAACATTTTTTAGAATAAGAATATTTATTAGAAATATTTCAAAAAGTATTATTAAATATTTTTTATTAATTAGATTTTTTCTATATGCAAATATTTTTGATGAATCTAACAATTTATAAAAGCAAAAAAAATTAATCTTAATATTTTTTTTCCCATTCAGTTTTCGATAATTAAAAATATCTAAAGAAAGATGTGTAATTCTAATAAGAAGTGTAAGAAACTAAAGGTATAAATACTTTTTACTGCTCTTTATTTTATTCAAGTATGATTAATGTGATAATAAACAGTATTTAAATTTATTTAAATTTTTCATTTTTAAAAAATAAAATCCCCTTTAATACTTTTTATTCTTTTGTTTTAAAAATTATTTTCAATTTATTTGATAATTATAATCAATTTTACTTTTAGATGCAAATTTTCTTTGAATTCTAAATGTAACCATTTACTATAAATTATCATAAACTAAGAGCTCAAACCCCCTCCTCCTAATTTTTTACTCAATTTTTCTTATTAAGATAATATCTCTAAATTTATAAAATTAATGTTTCTTAAATTAGAGGAAATACAGTATAAATCCTTTTTAATTAACTAATTCAATAAATAAATAATTAATATAAAGTTTTCTTGCTAAAAAATAGTTAGAAAGTTCATTTTATTAAAGAGGAAAAATTGCAATTTTTATATTTACCATATTAATCTTTACTAGAACTAATTTTTTTTTTAATAATTTTTACAATGGATCAACAAATTACTTATTTTACTAACGAAAAAATAAGACTATTTACAAGTAAAGCTTAAAAAAATGGTTTAAGTTATTTATTTATAAAAAGAGCATCAAAATATTTTTGATTTATTAAGGCCAAACTATATTTTGATTAAAATTATAAATATTTAAATTATGTTAAACATAGTATCAAATTATTTTAAAATTATTAATTTTATCTTTAGAATTTCCTTAAAAATGATTAAGATATTTTCTTCGTGCTTCTATTTCAATATTAGTTAGTTGTCATTAATGTTTATGGTGATTTCTTCTGCCTCAAATAAAATTAAACAAAATTTTTTGTTAAAATTAGAATTTAAACTATCTAAATCATTTATTAAAAATAATATTTAATTCAATTAATAAGAATACAACTAATAAATTTTATAATATTAACAAGTAATTAATGAGATTTAGCATACATTCACACTAAATATAAATTATTATTTTAGTATATAAATTTAAATTATTTTGATTGAAAAAATGATAGAAATTTCAAACAATAATTTCAAAAAGCAAAATAGTTAAGTAATTTAGTAAAATTATAATAGTTAATGAGATATTTAGTTAGCTATTTAGCTAATTTACAATCTTTTTAAGATAAGTAAAAATGAATTAAATTATTCAAAAAATTCACTCATTTTATTCTTCATTCTATTCTTCAGCTTATCTGTTTGTTTTGATATTTAAAACATCAAAACTGTATTTGTTTATCTTATTATCTTAACACTCTAATTATTCATCTTATTTTGTTCTAGCAGTGTTTTTTTGACTAAGAATAATGTCTTAAGATTGTATTTAATAATTTGATTTTAAATTAGATCCCTTAAGACCATTTTCTTAAATATCCTCTCCTTCCATGCTTATAATTTCATCATCTGCATTACTTTAGGATTCTCCCAAATAATTTTAATTTAAATTAAGGGCTGTTGCTTAAAATGTTGATTTTTATATTCCTTTAAAGAAATTTTAATTTGAATTTAATATGCTTTTTTATGGATTTGGAGTACCTGCCACAGAATGCTAATCTTAATTATTTTCACTATAGTATTTAGAGTGCCCAAATCTTAGTTAGGTTTATATATTATTTTAGCTGTTATTTAACTACTTTTAAAAGAAAATTCTGTTTAATTAATTGTTTTCTGTCTTATCTTATTCTATTTTAATCAAAAATTACTTCAAAATGAATTGTTTTTAACTATAAAAACGCAACAATATTTCAGATTAATCTTCTATAGTAGGACATCCTTTTAGTAAAAATAGATCTTGTTTAGATGTGTAATCCAGCCATTAAGGAAGCTTTCTGTTTTCATAGGAGGCAAGAGGTACATATTCTAATTTAAATATTCTACGCAGTCCAGATAGATAAGATTTGTTAGCCTTTGTAAAAGCTCTCACACTGGCTATTTCATGTTCTTCCAAATGGATTGATTCTCCAGAACAAGGACGATATCTTGAAGGAGAAGGATTAACAAGTCCAAGAGTATCTGCAAATAAAATTTCTTTAAGTAAATGTCTATTTATCATCAAAAATAACTTAGATCTAGTTTATTTTTGAATTACTTTAATTGAAATTGAAGTTTTTTTATTTCTAACAGGAAGTTCTTATTAATTAGCTTCTTAAGCTGTATTTTCCTCTCCTTCCACTATATTAATAGTATTTAAAATCAAATCAAAAGATTCTTTCTTGATTGCTAACTAAGGAATATTACAATTATTTGATTTTCTTTACAAATTTATATTATTATTATTGCTGTTGAAGTTCTGGTTCAGATTTGATGGTGTGGCAGCAATACGTGACATTGGCAAAATAGATAAATTAGCTTCATCATTATCTTCATCTTCTTCCATATGGTTGATATGCACATAGTGTTTGTACCAATCATTTTTAGTATATTTCTTTTAATCTAACGAATATTATTTTAAGAAATTATAGGCTTTCGTTGTAACTTTATCTTTTTCAAGAAGATGGCGAGCTAAAAGACTCCTGATCGATAGTCTCAGCAAGTTAGATTTTGATTTTAGTTACTCTTTATAAGAAGTTACAAATTAAACTTCTCCATCAAATCTAAATGATATATCATTATTAAGAAGGTCTGTTATGAACTTTTCAAATAAAAGAGATGAATCCCTTTAACTGAGATAAGTTTATTCTATTTTTGTTTGTTTTTGATTTGGTGTTTTAGCTAAATCTGTTATCTTTTTTTAAAAATCTCTCGATAAATTAAGCTCTTAAGAAATATTTTTTTTAGCCATTTCTTTGGCTTTGTCTTAAATTTAAGAATGCTCTATGTCATTAACATTTGTTTAGTCTTCGGGTTGAGGACTTTCACTTATTGAAATTCTGCCTTAATTGAATTCATTAATAAATTTTGTAAAAATCTCGTTCGCAATTTGCATGTTTTATCCAATAAAAATCGTTCTATGATAAAAGGTATGATTGATTTTAGCAATCTCTGTTGAATATAAATTTTTTTGAGCATAGATCCAGTTATAAAAGATATTTTAGTACTTGTAAAGTCCTAATACAAAAATAATAGGACCGAGAATTTAGAAAACTAGATTAAGGATAATTAAAAATGGTATTTAATTTGTTACTACACAAAAGGTGTCACTTGCTACTGAATATTAATCTGTTACATTCAAAAAGAAACAATATTTGTTATTGAATTCAGAATAACTGCATTAACCTGTGAATTTGAGGAGAGAAGGTGAAAACTAAAGCCAAAAATTTGATGGAATGGAAATATATTATCCATCTTATATCAAGTAAGCGTTATATGTTAGAGGAAGTGAGTGATCTGTCTAGCTATCTATTATAATAAAAGAACTTTATGAAAACTCTATACTTATTGGCGTTTTTATTTCTAGTTTTCCATTTGAAAATTAGCTATTGACCTAATCTTACAAGTTCATATTAGGATTAGGATTTAAGACTAATCTGTCTCTAAATCTAAAAAAAGATGCTTAATTTATAGTGAAATTTTGAATTATGTCATAATTAGTATTATCTTATAGCTAAACAGTGATGTTAACTAATTATAATATTTCTTATATTTTCGATGTGGAATTAACGTTTTGAATTCCGTGGATAAAAACCTCTATCTTGTTATTCAAACAAGCATTTAAGACCTATGGATCTCCTTCTAATTGTAATTGGTTTCTTGCGCTTGTAGTTGATGAAATCAAACCATTATAATTTTTGTTTACAAACATACCATACTATAAATCAATTGTTAAAAACATATAAACTCTACTCTGTAATGCTGAAATGTAATATAATAACTGAGATCCTTGATTCTAAGGAGGGTTTAAATAAATATTCAGTGATGATTGAGTATTAAAATAAATAGGATTTAATGTTACGGAGTTTTGTAGAACTAGCTTAATATTATTTAGCAATTAATCACTGAAATTTATTCCATTAAGGTTAATACCTAGGGGTTTTTAATATTAGAAAACACTGGTTACAAAATCAGATTTATCAAGTAAACCTATATTATGGAAGTAATTCAATATTTGATTTGCCTAATCTAAACTTTAATCAACTCCATGTACAGCCTTAGTAAATACTAAGTCTGAAGCTAAGACTGGAATATTTGATTAAACAACTATTGTATTTTAGATCAGTTGATTTCTCTTACTTGTGTCATAGTTTTAACCTAGAGAGTCTTTAACGATATTAAGAGAAAGTGTTTATTGAATAGGATTGTAATTCATCCAATATGGCAAGCTTTATAATTGACCATATTCTATGTAATAAACATTTGTTATTTATATTCCAGGAGTAGGAAGAAGAATCTGAAATTAATAATTAATTTGCTATCCAACAAGCAAAGACTGATACTTACTGAGATGAATAAGCTATGGTGAACCTGTATTTGCATTTAAGACTTATTATATTTCAGTATGAATGTATGTGTTGCTTTTTAATGGTACTGCTCTCAGGCCGCTCTAACTAATTATATAGAAGTAGTCATCTATAGGCGAAGCGCATACAGAAGTAGCATGCTCATTAACATATTAAAAAGTGCTCACTACTTTTGGTTGAGTAATATCTGTATAATTAACTAAACTAATTTCACCAATGTCTAGCTAACTCACTAGAGCATATGTGTTATTCTATATAAGCGACATAAAATTTGAATATCCTTAAGTCTAAACTCTGCTTACAACCTTTATTTGTGGAAGTTAAGTCATGTCTATTACATCAATACCATACAAGCCTTGCACAATAAATGCATATTTTTTATTAACCCCATATTTGGCTTTTATGATGTTTTCTCCTCCATTAGTTCTAGAAAAACTAGCTAATTGTGGGTTTTTCTTATTTGAAATATCCACAACACAAATAACACTAGCTCTTTCTACAGCTACAATATAATTACTATCATGAGAAATAATCAATCCATTTGCAATACCGCCAAATATTCCATTTTAGAATTACCACTAGCTAATTTATGTAAATTTACCTATAGTGGTACTATTAAACAAAACAAAGCTAAAATTGTTATCAAACACAAAGAGTGTCTCATCATCGCTCATGTCCATAGAATATGAATAAGAAGGGTCATCAGATGGTAGAGATTAAATTAAAACAGGGTTTGTTCTATCTGTTATGTTATATATATTCATCATAGTTGTCTAAGTTTGAATAGGTACTGCCAAATAAATATCGTTCCTACCGAAAAGAATAAATTGATCAACAGATGCACCACTAGTCTATACTGGTATTTAATATGCTGAAGTCATAAGCTGAGGAGAGACTCTCAAATCCATTATTGCCAAGCCTTAATCATAAGAACTCTAAAAGAGAAATTAATTATTTATCTCTACAGCTCCAGTCCACCTCCATTTGCTATTTCCTGCATTGACGCTGGTCGACTTTTGTACATTCAATATATTAGGTACATCTAAATTTAAATTTGGTTCTGATTTTTTAAAGGCTAGTAACGAATTTCCATTAGAATAATAAAGATACTATTACTATGAATCTTTAGATAAAATGAGACTAAGTGAATCAAGCGGAGCTGAAATTATTTGGAATAATTTAGGGTTCAATTTGTTAGAAATGTCAATAATGTAAATACCAACAGATCTCTGCCCAACCATCACATAATTTTCATCATTTGTCATAGTAATTGCCAAGCTATCAGGGGAAGTATCGTGATCGACCCACCAATGGGGAACTACTAAGGGAGGAGTATCCACAGTAAAATTTGTAAATTAATTTTAAATGTACTTTTATTAAATAGGGTACAAATCAATAATACTGAATCCATCCCAATATTCCATAATCATAACGTACCTTCCATCCTAAGTTATAACAAAGTAACTAGGAGAAACAGAAGGTGATATTGCAACATTAATTAGATTCAAACTGGTTTGTGCTTTTGTCTGGTCTTACCAATAAAAAACCATAAGACCATAATTATAATCAGCAATTATTACCCATAACATATCCTTTGTAATTTTGAGTCCTCTCAAAGTAGACTAAACAGTATAATTAGCTAATATACTTATAATTTAGTTGTCTCTCTTGCTTATATCAACTAATGTAAGCAGCCCAGAAAGATGGGCAATTATTACTCGATTCTCATTTTCTAGTACCTGTATTCTTTGTATTTGAGAAACATCAGTCTGATTCTGATAATATTAATACAAGTTATATGAATTATCTGAATATAGAAACTAATATGCATAAAAAGTGTTATTCATACTTATAAACACATGCTAACCATCACTAGTTACTGCGATTGCTTAATTAAGAGGGCCACTCAACTTACCTTAAAAGATTAATTTATTATTATTATTAGAGTCAAGGATTATGAGTCCTTCTGCTTCAGCTGTGGCAAACACAAACCCTTTCTTACTTGCTACCTCAATGAATTAAATTTAGTTAATCCTGTCGAGTGTGTCTACCTTATTTGAGTAAGTAGACGAATATATAGAAGAAAACTATTGTAGTGACTAAGATAGTGAGATTTAGATAATACTAAATAGTATTATTGTAGCTGCATTTACAAATAATTTCATTTTTTATTTGGAGCAGATGCTAATCAATCAGTGAATTAAGCTCAAGTTCTTTCTTTAATAGAAGTAAATTTACACTTAAATTTGTTTATTTTTTAATTTCTTAATTTAATTTAGCGCATTTAAAATCAATTATATATTTATGAAAAGAATTTTTATTTAGATAATGTAAATCACTCTCGCTTCTTAATTAAAATATGGCTAATTTAGAAAATAACAGAGTTCAATTTAAAGTAAATAAGAATGAATAAAACTATCAAATTTTACCATTAAAAAATAAATCTGTATATCTTTTATTTTTGCCTAAAAAAACTGCACAGAATTTAATTATTCATACTCCATATATTTATTTAGGAATTGCCTATGAATTATGTTTTAATAAAGACAACTATTTCACCTTTAGTCAATTAAAAAACTATATATTGTAATGATAAATTTTCAAGATAGAAATAATAATTTATTTGTAAATTAGTTTTGTAATCATCATTAAATTAAATATCAGCATGAATTTTATGTAGTATTTAAACTGACGAGAAATTAGCTATATTTCCTAATTTGTAACATTTAAATAAAAATGAATGATATTACAAAATAAGCCCATAAAAAGATAAATAATAAATAGAGTTATAGCTACTTTTTTTAATTATTTACTAGTATAAACATTTTAGGTAAAAAATCAATTTATTTGTCTTGCAAATATAAGTAAATTTGGAAATTATTTAAAAAATACTCAATTTATCTAAACATGAAAATATATTAATTATCTTTCTTTTATTAATTTTATTAAGACTAAAAAAATTGAGAAATTGTTAATTTTTCAGCTTGGCTCTTAATTGATTTTTTTTTATTCAATAATTTTTATTTTCATTTAAATAGGTTGTTAATGTAATATTAAAAAATTTGATAAAACCATACTTTGATAAAAGACTTGAAAAACTAAAATTTGTTAGCGAAACAATTTTAATTGTATACTCTCATTTTTGAGACAGACTCATAATATTTAAAATAAAAACCTTTTAAAAATGTTATACAAAACTTAGTTTAGTAGTATCTTAAAAATTAACTTCCTCAATGGCATTCATTATCTTGTTTTTATTTTACCTCAACTCTATCTTTTTGTATTATTATGTTTAATCAAATTACTATATTCAATTAATTTAGTTTTTATATTTTTGATTTTTTATAATCTATTTTTTCTTTGCTTATTCATTTTAAATAATAGAAAAAAGATGATATAGTTATTACAAAAAAAAAAAATTTTATTACTCAATACTTTTAAAACAATGTTACATAATAAACATTTTTTAGAATAAGAACATTTGTATAGAAATATTTCAAGTGTTATTAATTAGATTTTATGTATGTGTTGATATTTTTGATTAATGTTACAATTTACTATAAGCAAAGAAAATTAATATTAATCTCTTTTTTCCTATTTAATTTTCTATAACTAAACATATCTAAAGCTATAAAAAATGTGTAATTCTAATGAGAAGCGTAAGAAATTAAGGAATTAAAACTATTTACTGCTACTTTATTTCATTCAAGTATTAATGACTGTGATATACAAACATTATTTAAATTTTGCATATTTCTTAAATTAAAAGCCCCCTTAAATACTTTTTATTCTTTTTTTCTAAGAAATAAATTTAAGCCATTACTAAGAGGGGAGTTAATAAATAAGTACAATTCCAAGTTTTATACTTATAAAAAAGAATTTTATATAATAAATTTATTTTGATAATTATTAAGCTGGTTTATTTAACACCTATTTGTTTAAATATAGAAGAGGCATGTAAACTTCACAATAAACGATAAAAATGGATAACTTATTAAAAATTTAGTGAATCATTGTAATTAAATGAGAGATGCTTACTAAAATATAGATTTTTGTGTTAATATTTATTGGGAAATTGAAGAAATCTTAGTAAGTTTGCTGTAAAAAATGTATTTTTTTGTATTAAATGTTTTGATGGCAGATACACATTTATTAAAAAAAGTAAATAAATATCTGATTTCATATTTGATACTCTTAAATGATCTTTTAGTAGAAAATCAAAAATTAGAATAAGGATTACTAATATTTTAAGACAAAATTTACTTTGTTACTTCATATAAAATTTAAATCAAATACTTTAAAGTAAATAAAATTAGTTTATTCAGTAGAAGAAAAAAAATTTTGATTATTAAAATAATGAGCTGGAATTTAAGATGTAAGCTTAATAAAATGCTATTATAGCAATTAAACCATTAAAGTTCTATTAATGGATCCAATATAAAAAATACAGACATAATTTAAAGAAAAGAAAGATGTCTACTGATAGCAAAGTCATAATTATATTTATTTTGAAAATAGTAACTAATTTATGAATTTAAAATATAAATGACTTGTTAGGTGGGATGTAATATCTTTATTCATTTAGCATTAAGTGTTTGATTATTAATTTATTTATTTACTTAAGCTTTTTATTTTGTATGAATCCTTTGAATTTAGCTCCAAGCACTTAAAGCTAGAATGCTCAACAATATTTGACAGCAACTTAGATTGTTATTCCAATTAAAAAATAGACTCTCATCAAGCCAAAAAACCATAATTTGTTTAATAATCCAGAATATTTTCGTTCTATCAGAGGCACTAGCCCGCATGGATAGAATACTGGAACTAATGCTATGAAAAATGCCATTTAAGATTAAGACATTAAAGATGATTAATCTTAAAAAGCTAGAAAATATAATTTATCTTCTTCTGACAAAAAGTTTTTTTTTCCTGAAAATTAGAGACAAAATAAAATTCAATTTTTAGGAGCCAATTAGCCGATTTCACCAAGTTTTGATGCTATAGTAGATGAAGGATTAGGAAGTGGACCAATTAGCATTCCTGAAAGTTAGAATAGCAGTGTAAGAAATATAGCCAGGATTAATATAAACAACAATAATAATTTTTTTAATGCTGTTTCTCCTCGCGAAAATGCTTACGCATCTCCATAATTAAATAGCAATGCAGTTAAGACTCCAAAGGATAATGCTGGAGGAGGCATAGGGATAATAGAAGATTTTAATTACAGGAGTAAGAATAGAAATCGTCCATAAATATTTTAAAATAGTAAAAACATATTGTAAAGCAGAGTACCTTCAATAAAGCCAAATGGAAACGAGTATGACTTTGGATCATAGACTAAGCTACCTTTTTTTACAAATAACGAGCAAGATAAAGGAGCTGAGCTGAATTATGATTTTTCACACATCAAAGAGTTGAATCAGGATAATTTTCTGAAATACATTCATCCAAAACAAAGAGAAACGATTTACCTTCTTTTTGGAGAAAAGAGAGACCATTGGTAGTAATCTTGGTAGAATTAAAAGCCAAACGAAAAGGATCTATTTGTAAGCGATAACAACTCCTAAAAAACAATTACTTATTATGAAAAATTAGACAGAAGAGCTGAGAAGCTTAAAGATAGATTGAGAGATACGAGCAAGATAGTAAGCCACATGATGGAGAGAAGAAAAAAATTCCTCCTTGAACACGAAGAATTAATAAAATCAATTGAAAGATATAAAGATTCGTTGGAAATAATTTAAAAAACCAGCAAAAAAAAGGTATTTGAAAGAGATATATAACTTCTTGTCGAGTAAATTAAATTAAAAATAGAAGACCTTAAAGACAAGTATAGAGGTAATCAATTAATTTAACTTACTCCCCTCCATTATAATTCAAATATTTTGTGATAAATAATTATATAATTATTAACGTCAAATAGAATTTTACATTCTTCTAAACAATAGATAAAAATTAGATATTCAGTATATAAATTTCTATTGTAGTAATAAAGAATTTAGATTATTACTAGAAGAATATTATTAATTTATTACTTCCAAATAAATAAGAAATTAGCTTTATTTAATCTCATTAATTTATAGCAATATGTAATTTTAATAATAATGAAAGTTTTAAAAAGTGACTATTTATTTTCAATGATTCAAGCAATTTTATCAAAAAAAAATCTAAAAATTTAAGTCTAATTATTTTACTAAAAAATAAATATATGTAATGTATTAAGTGATAAATAAGCTAAAGCCAAATTTTATTAATACTTAAAAAACACTAGAAATTAAAGCTAATTTTTTTGAACAAACTTTTTAAGTCAACTCTCTAATTAATTAGAATACACAGTAGCAATATTTAATATATTGGTAACGTTAGTTTAGCAAGTTATTTTAATAACATCATTATTAGCAAAATTTTATATCACATAGAATTATTTGAGCTAATTGCACTCAACAATAAATATTAATAAAAATGCTATAAATTTCTAAAAAATGTTTAATTTTGAATTAAGATAAGAACTACATAATGAATAAAAAATGATGTAAAATTATTTATAATTTGTACTTACTTAAATAATTTTTGAACAATCTGAATAAACTATAAAAACTTCAATTATTTATAATGAAAATATTCTTGAAAAATAATTTTAATTTCTTTATCAATATTTTAAAGCAGTAATAGCATTAAATACATTTTAACATTTTTTTATATTAATTATATTAGAAGCAAATGATTTAATTGTCATATTTAGTATTGCTAGCAATCAATATTTAAACAGCAATTAAAATTGGTAAAGTAGCAACAGTTCGATGATGGATTTGAATAAAATGTAAAATTAGCAAATTCATAGCTAAAATATTTCTAAAGTAGAAAGTCATTATAAGCAAATTTAATCCACATATAACTACCAGAGTGTCTTCCATTAATCTAGCAATATGCTTGATTTTGATTCTAGAGCTTTGCAAATTTATTAAGAATTTCAATAATAAATTCGTAATCTTGATGCTGGGCTTAATGAATATAAAAAATATCTTAAATTAGATATTGAAGGAGAGGAGTTTAATATTAGAACTTAAGAATTGCTTTAGATCCTCAAATAATGCACCACTTTTACAGCAGATGCTGAAAAAGAAATCATACTTTTGAATTAAGAACTCGGTAATTTATTGATTTTTCTTGTTCCTATTATTGATAAATTAAATTAATTATTTTCTTTCTAAGTTGAAAATCACTTTTTTATGGATTTACTTATTTAGTAAATGTTTTAAAATTAAAATGTATTAAAAAATAAAGGAAATAATTTGAAGGAGATTACTATTTCTCTCAAGTAAAATGTAGAATTTTATACCAGAGTATATTAGGCGATAGAGGAGAGTTTTGATTTGGTATGCAAATTAATTTATTTAAGCTAATCTAAATTCAAAGAAATGAACGAGCAAATTTCTGAGACAACTAAAGATATTGAGCTTTTTGTTTCAAAGTTCTTAAGAAGAAAGTAAACTTAACAGAAGAGTATAAGCATATCTCAACAATAAAGCTAAAGTTTGATGGCTTAATTAAGTAGCACTAAAAATAGCAATCAACTCGTTTACAATGAAGAAGAAATTAAAAAGGGTATTATATAAATATAACAAAGAATCTAAGATATTTTACAAAATACTTCATCCCTTAAAAAGCAAGTAAAATAGCTTGCAACAGATCCTCGTTGTTAGTATTTCATTTAACTTCGCTTTAAATAGTCAAATAAAATTATTTACAAACTCGAGTTGATGAATTCATAGGTAGATTGCTTGTAGAGATTCATTTAGTTAGTTTGCACAAGATTAGATGAAGACTTAAATGAAATAATTTAGTTCCAAGAGTAGATGAAAAAGATAACAAATGAATTTGGAGCAATTACATAAATAAAAGAGCATAAAAGAGTGACTGAAATGCTCAAATAACTTTATTAAGGCTGTAATTTGTTGATTTCAAATATGGGAAGTTCTTTGAATAGATTAAATTGCTACATTGAATTTAACTAAATAGGATCTGCTTAAAAGAATTTTTTCACAATTCAGGCTTAATTATAAAGTGGAATTTAAGAGATTACTAAATTGTAAGAGAAGATTCTCATAGAAACCAAAAAGAAAGGAAAAAGTGAGTAATTTGAATTAAATATGAAGAAATTAGATGAATTTTCTGATTTATGCTAGAAAGAAATTGAAAACTTCAAGAGATAGAAAGATTATATCTTTTTTAACTTCTAGGATTCTGAAAAATTCCACATGCCAGCAATGATAGCTTTGGGAAATGCTCGTTAAGCTTACAATATAATGAACAACAACATGAAAGAAGATCCTGCCTTACAACAATTCGAAAAGCAAATAGTCTAGCAAAAAAACACCTTAGAGCTCTGCAACACCATTTTCGAGAACATTTCTTATTTGCAATTGTAGAATTTCTAATACCTTTCTTTTAACTTCAACATCAAAGACAATAAATTAGATTATGAAACCAATTTAGATGAACTTCTTCAAGGTGTTGACGAAGTAAATTCTTTTAATACTTTTCCCCTTCAAATTTATTTTAAAATAAATTCAATTCAAAGAGTTTTTAAAAATTTAATTGCTTTTTTATTTGATTTTGTTAAAAATTAATTTGAATATAAATAAAGTCTTTGAAAAATATAACTCAGTGTTGGGAAACTGTATAAAATTAAGCTTATGAAAAGTTTTTGAATGATATTACACAAAAGTTAATTGAAATGATTAAATAGCTCTATGATTTTATTAGTTTTTGGATGAAAGGAGTAAAGCTTATAGTGAAAAAAATAAAAGAAAGTGTGGACAGTAAACATTTTGTTAAGAAAGAGTTTTAATAAAAAATAATCGATGAGAGTATAGAGCCTTTCCTGAATTTTTTGAATAACAGAATTTCAAGTGACTTTTCTTCTTACTTCAAAGGAATTATCAACGTTTTAGCTAAAAAAGTGAACGAGTGCTGTGCTAATTTGATAGTTTTTGTTTACGAAGGTACTCAGAAAGAAGTAACTTATGAAAATATAGAAGCAGTAACATCTTAGTTAGAAGAAAAGCTTAACTAAAGAAGCAGCATACCAAAATTGCCAGTACTTTATGACTTGTACAAATGTGTAAATTTTTTGGATGTTGAAAAATCCTACGAAAATGAAGAAATAAGAAGCAGGATAAAGCTATTAAGATCAAGAGTAACAGAGTTACTTGTAAGTTAAATAGACAATTTTATCAACTAAAAAGACTAGAAAGTACTTCTCATGCTTAGCTTTTACAAAGATGTTGTGCTGAACGAATCTATTTTACACTACAAAGATTAAATTGATTCACTTATTGATTTTTGTTTGCATTTAAATTCTAGATTCATTTTAATTTAACAAATTCTAGATGAGTCTAAATAAAAATGGAAGCAATAAATCTATGTATAGATTGATTAAAATGAGACATCTTTCTTTTCGTACCTTCTTAAGTATTATGACTTAGTGAACAAGGGATCAGTATTCGATCAAACACTTAATTCATTGATTGCAACAAGCTAGTAGGAATTAAGAAATAAACTTTAACAACAGAAAGAGAAAAGCAATAAAATATTTTACGAGTCATTGGGTATTTAAGAAAATGGTTCTTTACATTCTGAGCTTGTTTAAGATCTTTATTAGCTGTTAAATTACTTCTAATCTCTTTCTATATATAAACAAATGTTACTAAACAGTGAATTTTACTTTTTAAGCTATTTAAAAACTGATTTCAAGCAGTTTGCAACTAGCATCCAAGCTATTCACGATGCTCTCTTAACTCTAAAAGAAGCAACTATTGTGTACACATTTAAAAATAAATACTTGCCAAACCCTAGTCTTGACAAGCAGCAAATTTTCTAAGTTCCTTTTGGAGTATTTTTAGGGATAAATGGATTCAATAGAATAGTTGAGCTAAAAAACAGCCAAATCTTAGATAGCTGGATTAAAATATTTAACAAAATTCAGCAATAAATATCAGAGACTAACAATAAAATGAATAACATCAAAAGTATAAAAACAGTTGACATATTTTAAAATATATCTGTTTATGAGCTTAACGAAAACCAAATAAATTTCATAAATAAATTCAAGAACATAAATTATAGCAGATGAATGAAAATTATCTGAATTTTATTCCTAATATTTTTTTATTTTAATATAACTTTATATATTATCTTATATGTAATTCCATTCATAGTTACTTATTTATTATTCGCAAATCTTTGCAAATCTATGAATATTTTTTATTAATTATTACAGACTTTCTTTTTTCTTTTTCTTTTTGTTTGTTAAAAATTCAAAAATTTTTATTAATAATCAAATAAACATTTTTTAAAGTTTAAAAATTTAATTAATTCTCTTTTATTTATTAACTTTTTAACAAATTTATAAATAAAATTCAATTTCAAACAACAGCTTAGTTAGAATATTTTTGAAGATTTAAAATATATTAAGAATTTAGAAATTTAAACAAATACAAAAATTTACTTATCAATAATTGATGATCATGATGAGTAATTGCTCAGTTTTTGTTCAGAAATTTAAAAGAATTGTGTAAATATAAAAATAAAATTTATTTTTTGTGGAAAAAAAATATGGATTTAATTTTATTTTGCATGATTTGAATTGTTGTAGTAGAAAAGTAAAAGAATTTTCTTAAATATTAAATTCTATAATTCTTAATTTTAGAATTTGGAAAAATAATAAATAAAATTAAGATAGTTTCCAGATTTTTACTAGACTCTAGAATTTTCCTATTGGATTAATATTTTAATTTATTTTTTTTCTTTAAATTAAACATTTTTGTAAGATTTTCTACTGTAAAAAAAGTTATTTATAAAAAAATTATCAATATAATAGTTACAATATTAAAAATATTTTCATAAAGACGAAAATAACATTTTGAAAGTAAATTACATTTAATAATATTTTCTCAAATATTGTATAAATTTTTTATAAATAGATAATTTAACAAATTAGTAGAAGTAAGTAGAACAACAAACAGCTAATTAAGCGAATTACACAAATAAATATTTAGTATTTAACAAATTAATTGTCACTTTTACAAAAAACACTAACTCTAAATTTTGATAATTTATTATGACAATTAAGCTAATGAACTAAAATTTTAATATTTTAATATATTATTTTTATGATAAAATACACAGTCGAATAATTTATAAATTAAAGTTCTAATTTGTTTTTGATAAGATTTATATAAAATGCAAAAAAAATAGACAGAAATGAGAAAGGCTTTGCCTATGCTGAAGCAATTTAGCCAGGAAAAAAGCGACTTTGGGTATTTAGGCGAAGAAGTTCGTATTATAGAGTCATCAAATAAAAATGCCTTCATAGATTCTATAGAGTAAAGGAAGTCAGCTTTTTTAGATGTTGGGTATTATTTTTGATGTTTGATTATAATATAGCAAGATTTATCTAATTTATTATTTGAAAAAGCATGCAATATATTGGACTTGAAGGTATTTTAAACATATCATATAGTATCTAGCTCATGAAGAATTTAGAGAAGCTTCATCTGAAGCTAAAGTAGAATAATTTATTTTTTAAGCTTTGTGTCTGTCTGTTCACCAATTTAATAAATAGATTTAATTTTAATTCAATTTAATGTCTTAAGACTTTATAATTATATATAGTGAAAACGATATAGGCTTAGAAGAAATAGAGTATCTTGCAGAAGCAATAGGATAATTAAAGCACCTAAAGGATTTATCTCTTAATTTAGAGTATAAATTACTAGATTTCTTAAAAGAAATTCACTAATAAATTTATAAATAGCTACAATGATATTAAAACAGAAGGAATCAAGTTACTTATAGAACAGCTACTAAAGGTGACTAAGCTAGAAGTTTTAACATTGAGTTTAATGTATGCATTTTTAAAAGACAAATTTATTTAGCTATTCCATTTTCTCAGTAATAATTTTAAAATATTATTTTTTATTTTGTTATTATAGCAATAATGAATTGGGAGACGAAGGTGTGACTATAATATCAGAATATTTAAGCCATATGAAGCACATGCAAATGCTCTAATTATAGTTGGAGTAAGAGAAAGCAAATTAAATGTTGCTTGTTTAAATTTACTTTTCTGTTTAAATAAAACTAGTTCTAATATGATCACAGGCAAAGGCATGAATACTTTGAGTGATGGATTGACTCATTTGAAGAGACTCAAGTCTTTGAAGCTTATAGTTGGAGAAAATCAGTTAGGAGTTCAAGGAATTAAAGAAATTGCTAATGGAATTCATAACCTAAGAGAATTGCAAGACTTATCTTTGTTTTTAGGGTAAATCAAATTCACTAGAAAAATATTTTAAAATTTTATTTGTATAAAAAAGTTGGAATAGTCTTCAAAACGAAGGCATGAAGGAGTTTTCAGATGGTCTTAAGAACTTGAGAAAACTTAGATCTCTAGACTTAAATTTCTATTAAAATGACATGGAAGACGAAGCAGCTATTGAGCTCTCTATGGCACTTCTTCACTTAACTGGTTTAACTTAGTTATAACTTCTTTTAAAGTAAATTTAATAGCATTAAATTATTTATTTATAAAACAAACATTTTTAAAAATTATTTGATGACTAGTTCTAGGTGGTTTTAATAATAAAATTAATATCAATTTTTGTTTATTCATTCAAAAAAAATATTGAAAACATATTTTGTGATATTTAGGTGAAATTTTTAGCAAATTTTAAACTGAAATTGTAAAAAAATAATAAATCAAGATCAAAAATATTTTAAATTTACCTCTAAAAAATTAAAAATTCTAAAATAAATTTTTTAATTTAAATTATAATTGAATAAATTTAAAAAGTTAGTTTTTAAATTGAACTTAAAAAATACTGTTTAATTGAAAATATTTTAATTAAAATTAGCTATAATAAACTTGGTTCAGAAGGTGTTTCAGCTCTTGCTCACTCTTTAAAATAATTAAGACATTTAAAAAAGCTTACATTAGTCCTCATGTAAAATATCAAAAATAATTTAAGATTATCTTATGAATATTTTAGTCAATAAAAATAAATAATATTTTATATCTAGTGAAAATAAGATAGACAAGATAGGAGCTATTGAAACAGCATAAGCATTAAATGAATTGTAAGATTTAAATGAGCTAATCTTGAGTTTTAAGTAAATTTGAAATAAAATTTAATTGTGAGTTTTAACTAATCTAAATAAAAATAAAATTAAGGAGCAACAAAATCACAGATGAAGGAGCAAAGGAACTTGAAAAGTCTATTAGCTCTCTAAAAAATTTATAAAGCTTGAACATGAACTTAAAGTAATTGATATCATTTTTAAAAACATTTTAAAACTATTTTAAAAATATTTATAGTATGACTGGAATGTCACCTGAAATGCAAACCATGTATGGAAAAGAATTATTTAAATAAATTCAGTTGCTTAATTAACTTAGAATAGGATTAGAGTACTAATTTTATTTCTTAAAAAAATATTTAATTATTCAAAATATTTAAAAATAGCTTTTAGAGTCCTATAGTTAATATGATAATTAGTAGAATGGAATTGATGAATGAATTCCTTATGGAAATAACTGCCTTAGAAAAGATAGGTATTAAAAATCTTTTCACATAAGAAATGCTATTGCTAATTGAACAAGATATGGTTATAGATATTTTAGGGACTGATTTTCTTTCTTTGGTTCCTCTTAATTACAGATTTTGATTTTTTTATTATTGGAATCAAGTAATAATCATAGATAAAAATATACTTTTATATATAAGCTTCTCGTTAATAACAAAATTAATTATATTAAATTAAAATTAACTAATTAACTAATTCTTATTTCAAAATAATCATTTGATATTTATTTGTTGCTTGCTTTTTGTATTATAATTAATCTGTATTAAATATTTCTCCTAATATAATTTTATAAATTAATTTTGCAAATATAAATCATTTTTAAATAGAAATTTTAATTCTAAATAATCTAATTAAAAATAAATTTAAAATTTATAATTAATTCTCCTTCTTATCTTAAAATTTATATTTTCTACCTTTTTTTTTTAGCTTTTTATATTCAAGTTTATTTTAAGTTTATTATCATTAATTAAAATAAATTTAGATAATTATAAAAATGTTTAATATAAAAGGGTAAGTTACAAAGGTTTTGATAATCAAGATTATCTTATAAACTATACTATAATTACTAGGTGAGTAATTTTACAGCTAAGTTTGCTTTCATATAAAGTTAAAATTTTACCTCATGCTTTTTTTAAATTCAATAATTTATTTTAAAGAGATTTTGATTTTTTTTTCATAAAATTAATAAGTATTGTAGATAAAAAAATAAACTTTTTAAAGCTATTTGTTAAAAATAAAAATTGTAATCTTGATTTATTTTAACAACTTACAATTACTCATTTTAAAATAATATTTTTAACCCATCAAATTGTGTTTTCTGAATAGAAATTGTATATTTATTTATTTATGAATTATTTAAGCTTATCAGGAATCAGTCATACATACATAATATATTTGTCTAGATCATTAAAAAAAAATTAATTAGTTTCTATGATTTTTTTAATGAATATCTTCAAATTTATTAAAAGTTACTTTATAAATGAAAGAGATGACCTATTTTATGATCCTAAGAGCGTAAATATGATCATAAAGCTAAATATAGAGAACTAAGATCTAAACAAAAGTAGAAGATTAATTTTCGATTTAGAGTAAAAGGAACATCATTTATCTAATAGTGCATTTTACAAATTATTAAATTAGATATAAAGACATAAACGCAGAAAGTATAAATGACCTAAATATAATATGCAAAAATACTGAACTAAATTATTTACAATTAAAGCTTGAGTACATTAGTTAAACTATAACTTTATATTAATAAATTTTATTTATTTAAAGCCATAACTTTTTAGAAGATGAAGGAGTTTAAAGATTAATGAAAATAGTAATATGCTTTAAGAAGCTACAAGTCCTACATCTACATTTGGGGTATTAAATCATATACAATAAATGATAATTAGGAAACAAATAAATATTTAATAGAAATAACTATTTTGGAGAATAGGGAGCAAGACACATAAGCATAGGATTATAAAAGTTAGCAGAAATGAAAGAGTTAAAACTAGTTATTTTGTAATATTTTTATCTTATAATTAACAATTCGCAAGTAAAAGTTCAAATAAATTTATGCAAGCTGTTTATATAAAATAAAGTAAAAATATTATCTATCAAGCAGGGGCTTTCCACATTTCTGATATTTTGTAATCTACTAGTAAACTGCAAGTACTCTCTTTAAATTTAGTGTAAAATATTAAATTTTTTGTCAAAAATAGTAAATTTAATTTATTTTTTTTTGAAAAGTGAATGCAATATAAATTCAACTGGCTGGTAGCAAATATCCAAAAATCTTAGATTACTCACTTAATTAAAGCACCTAAATATAATCTTAACGTATAATTAAATATTTTTATCTAAATTTTAAACAACACTTTATTTAACTTTTTTAAATAGAAAATGCTATCAAAACTAATATTTTTAACAGTAAAAAATTTTAAAATTAAAAAATTATTTAGAATAAAAAAAAGTTGAATTAGCAAATTTTATAGTATTAAAAGTAAAAACTAAATTTAGCCATTAAAATTCAATTATATTTTAAAAATATCTTTTTAAAAAAATGTTTATTAATTGAAACAAATATTTTTTTATTTTATTGAACAAGTAACACAATTAAAGACTTACATTTAAATTAAAAATTAAAAATATTAAAAATAGAAATAATAATATAGATGAATAAGGAAATACTGATTTCTGTGATTTCATATAAAATAATAAAACAATTGTTAGCTTAGAGCTCAGTCTAGTACTAAACTATATTGGGTAAGGCATTATAACTCTTTAAAATGCACTAATAAAAAACTAAGTTTTGAGGGTGCTTTCCTTAGTGCTTTTGTAAGATTTTCTTATTTATTTATTTAATAAAATAAATTGAATTACTTTTTAATTATATTGATAAGTTCTACTGCAGAAAAGCAAAGACTTAATTAAACTAGAAAAAAAATATAAAAATGCTGCAAGAGATTAGTAATGTATAATTACATTTTTTGAATACAAAATAATATATTCTAGTATTATTTTGTAGGAATTCATTTATATAAATTTATATATTCCATATAATTTAATTAATTAAAATTAAATTGCCTTTAAATTTTTATTATTTATCAATTATCTATTTAAAATAATAATAATTTATTGTTTTCACAATTTTATTCAAAAGTCATTTTTATTTAGTTAAAAAATTTTAAAAACTGATGAAAATAAATAAAATAGTAATGAAAAAGTAAGTTTGTTTTTTTATAATTTAAAATTATTATAAAAATAATAAATTTTACTAATTCTAATTAAAAATCAAGTTTTTTATATTTTTTTAATAGGTTTCATTAAAAATAAAAATTATCCTAAGTTCTATTTCCAATAAATACAATTTTAGATGTACTAAAATTCTATTAATATAGCAAATAAATGTACATAAAAATAAATCCTCCAATATTAATAATAAATATTTTTTACATAAATTCATTTTATTTTATGAAAGAAAAAAATAATATTTTATTTATTACTAAAATAATCTTTTAAGTTTAATAAAATACCCTTTAAATATTAATTTAGAAATGAATATATTTTCAATAACAATTAGTAAAAATATAAATATCTTTCTACATACAAACAAAATAATACTAAAAATATAAAAAATATATTTATTGTAAATATTTATTAATCTTTTTTCTATTATTTTTGGAATTATTTATTTTTAATAAAATGTAAAATAAATTGCTTAATAAAATTTTAGAATTAATTCAATACTGTTCTATCTATCTATTTATCTATCTAATTTATATTTATTTTGGTTGGCATATTTTAGATATTAATTATTAATATTAATTTGTAATAAGCACCAAAGATTCTTAAAATTTATCTGAATAATACAATATTTACTGCATCTTTTATTTAATTAGTAATTAATAAATATCTTAAGATTTACATCAAATATAAAGCATATAATACATTATAATCAATTAGAATTTTAAGAAGATATAGCAATCATGGAGGAACAAGCTTATTAAATAGTTTAGCAGTACAATAGCACTTATTTATAGCTATCAAATATTCAAAAAAGCTTAGATGATCATACACGAGTTACTATTCAATGTTATCAAATGGGAAATATGAAATCTGATTAATTTAAAGATTTTTTAAAGTTGTTATAAGAGTCTTTCTAATCACTTAATATTTCCTAGGATAATTTAAAATTAATTAAAACTAAACTATCGCCATATTTAAAGCAAAAAGTTGATAAAATTGAGAATATTTATCTTAGTATTTATGAATTTTCTTTCGATATCAAAATAGGAATGGAATAAAAGTTTAATGAATTTGTAATTTTAAGATTATGTCATATAAACTGAGTGGCCTGGATACGAGTTGCACATGTAAAATCATTAAATTTACTATTTCATCATAAATTAGTTTTCATTTTTGATTTTACAGGATTGCTGCAGGTGCAATAGCGTTTTATGATTCTGACTCTAACGATATAAATTAATTTTAAGAAGAGTTTATCAAACTTAAAAGCGTAAAAAAATATTTGATAATAAAAATTTTAATAATTTAAATTAAATAAATAAATAAAATGAAAGAGAGTATCTTAAAGTCGTTAAACACTAATGAAGCTCTTTATTATGGGTTCTAAAGAAAAAGATATCAGAGAGATGGTTCCATATGAAACATCATTTTGCTTTCTTGAAGATATTGAAATAGAAAGAGAAGCAAGCTAAATAACTCTTTAAAATTAAATATAATAGATTATTGTTGATATTTCTATCAATTTTGCTCTCGAGTTAGAAAAACTTAAGTAAGAATTTAATTAAAATCTATTTTAAATTACTAATTTTAACAATTAATACTTAACAAATTTATAAATTTATTTAAATAAATTGAAATATTTTAGTTACCTCAATTCATACAAAAAGCCATAAATTAATTATATAAAATCAATAAAAACATGATCTATTTTAAAATATTATTTTTTAGTTTTAAAATAAAATGTTGATACTAATTTGATAAATTTATGTTAGATATTTAACATTTATATTCTTATTAAAATTTGGATGTTTGGTAATTTACTAACATAAATAATAAAATTTAGATATAAATAATAGCAATATTTAGAGTATTTTATATGATTATAAAAGGTCAGATCCTTAAAATACTGTAAAAGTTCATATGAAAGAAGAAAAGGTGACTGATTCTTCTAAGCTTAAGAAAAGAAAAGAAGGAAGAGCTTTAAAAATGATGGGCGATTACTGTATGATGTTGCTATCATTTGAAGATGCAATAGGTTACTATTCAGATGGTTTAAAGATTCTTAAAAAATGTGAAGATTACTTATGGATAGCTTCTTGCTAAACAAGCTGCACAGCAAGAATATATTACAAGTTCAAAAATAAATTATTAATAACAGCTTTATCCGTTAATGATTTTGAGTAAGAAGTCTCTACAAGGATGAAAGAAGCTATGGATTGCATACTTAAAACTAAATTTTCAAATTTCTTTATTGAAATAGCATTTAAATATATGAAAGTTTTATCTGAGTATTAATTTAAACTGTAATTTAATGATATGGCTTACTATTTTGAAATGAATTATACCTTAAATGATAAAGTGGAGTCTTCACAATGCTTTTAGTCTATTGCTGGTATGTACAAATAACTTGGTATGCTTAGAAAATATGGTTTCTATCTAAGAAAAGTAGAAAATTAAATAATTTTAATATTAAACAATTTAATTAATTAATAATTATTTTCACTTGAAAATGTTAATTAATTTCTTTTTATTTTATTAAAATTAATTAGGCTGCCTTGCTGATTAACAAATATAATTCAAATGTTTGTTAAAAATTAATGAGTATAGCTGCTAAATATTATAAATTTTATGAGTTAAGTCCTTTTGGAGAAGGAAAAAAGAGTGAATAATTTTGGCTCAAAATTTAAATGGCATTTTTATTTGAGTTTATAGAGTGTCTTGCTGATTAACCTAAGCTGTAATTATTTATTTATTTAATTTTAATTTAAGCATAAATATTTTGAAATTAATAGGAAAAATTAAGTTTAAAAGCATATCATTAATGTATTTACTGATTTAAATAAATAAGACAAGGAGAGAATTTATTTGTCTTTAAGAAATGAGTGTCCCTATACTCCTAATTATAGTTACTTTATTTTTGAGCATCTTCCAGTTGTTAAAAAAGTTGACATAATCCCTTCTAATCAATTAATTAGACCTAACGAATAAGAGAAAAAGGGTTTATTTATTTACAATCCTTTTTAGAAAAAAAATTTGTAGAAACTTAAATTTCCTTCCGATGAGCTGATCAGTTTTAAGTTGATTTTACTATTTATTTATTTAATAACTTTCTTAATTATTGATTTAATTTATTAATATTTTATTTATTTGTGTTTTTATTCAATTATTTTATTTTAAAATGATAAAATAATAGAATTACTTTGGTGAATTCGTTTGGATTTGATTTGTAGATTGACTGCATTGTCTTTGAAGTTAGTGGTGTAGAAATATTAAATTATCCCAATAATATATTTGTGAGTAAGAATCATACAGAATTTGTGATAGAATAAAATATAAAACCACTTAAATCAGGTAATTTGAGCATCGAAGCAATCAAATTTAGATGCTTTAACACTGTTTATGAGCATTGCATTGACGAAAGAGGTTTCGGATTGATTTACCTTTAAAAACACTAAGATAAAATTAACCTGTAAAACAACTAAAAAAAAGTTTAATATGATTTGAAAAATATTGAGATTTTTGATAAGCTTCCTCATCTCAACGCTGAACTGTTGGGAGATATCGATTAAAATGGAAATATTATTTTTGAGAAATCTCAAAAAATATAATTCTAAATAAACTTGAAAAACATAGGAGACTTACCAGTAACTTAGCTAAATATTTCAGCATGCATTGATTACAATTAGCCACCAATTTAGGAATGTAAATATTTCTTACCGTTAACATTTAAGCTTGATATTTTTGCAAAGGATTTTTTGTTCATGATTAAAAATATAGCTTTGTTTATAATATAATTTTTATTTAAACTGCTAAAATTATAATTTATTAATTTAAAACAGTTTAATATAGCTTTGAAGAAGTTGGTGAGGTTTCTATAAACAAAAATGAGAGTATAACATTGATTTTTGTTGAGCAGAATTCTATTTTCAAGCAAAAAAAAGGAAATTTTAAAGTACTATAGTTACCTTAACTGAAGCAGTCTTCTTATGAAGTATTTAATTTATTGTTCACTAAATTTAATTAAAATATTTTATCAATTTTACTTAATAATTTTTATAGGTTTCTTAAGTGACTTTTGTGGTAAGTTATATGGAAAACAGTAGCAGCAAGTTTATCAAGGAAATACACTTAAAAAAAAATATAACAGTAAAAGAGAGTATTTTGATTGACAGTATGGAAATATATGAATAAAACTAAAAGATTATAGAAGATTCAAGAGTTTAAAATTATTATTTAAATGATTATTTTTACGTACAAATGACATTCATTAAAACAGACGATAATATAATTTCATAGCAGCAATAATTGTAGTTTGGTGAAAGTACATAATATAATTAGAATGAAAATAATAGTGGTGCCATTCTATTATTCCCTTAAAACTCAAACATAATTGATAATTAATTTACTTTAACTTTTTATGAGAAATAAAACAGCATTGATTAGTGCGACCTTTACTCAAACAATAAAAGGGTCACAAAAATATTTAAGCTTCAGAAGGTTTAAAAGCTCATTGAAGAGCAAGACGAAGAAGATTATGATCCATAGGAATTTATGCAAAAGAAATTTAGAGAAATATTTTCAATAAAATGGAAGGATGTTCATAGATACTCCGAAGGTTTGCTGCCTCTACCTTCTTTAGACACAGCTAACTTAAAAAAAATCTTCTAGCAACCAATTCAAATAAAGACAAATATTAAATTACTAAGTGAAGAAAGTTAAGTTTAAACTTATTTGAATGAGTACACAATTACATTTTGTGACATGAATCAGGTTGGCCTCTCAAACAACTTGTCATGTGAGCTGAGGTTGGATAATAACATCTAAGAAGGTTCTGAAGTTTTATCATTCTAAACATATTATGTACTAGATGGTAAAACCAGATATAACTTAAATTTGAATGACATAAAAATGAATGACCAAAATAAAGGAGAGCATAAAGGTTAATGCTTCTTTAAAATATATGGCTAGCAACATAAAAAACATTTTATTTTTTGCCTAACAATACTTGACAATATCAAAAATATAAACTACAATTTCTCAGAAAATATAATGCTTTGATATTTTGTAATTTAAGCTAATGATTTGTTAAATAAAAATATTCATTAATAGGCTCTTTAATCAATTAATTAGACAAGTTAAACATTTCTAAAAATTAGAATTGCTTTCTTAAAAAAGCTAAACAGTATTTTAAATATTTTTAACTTTTTTTGTTTATAGGCATTTATAAATATTTATTTACCCTTAAAAAAGTTATCTTTTAATCTTATAAAAAAAAATATTTGATTTATTTAATTTTATAAAAAAAAAATATTTGAATTTATTTAATTTAAAAAAATAAAAAATATTTGATTTATTTATTATAAAAAAATTATTTTAGAAGTTTTTTAAAAACTATTTTAAAAATTATATTTTTCAGTGTGTTAATTTTTATTTAAATATTTTTGATTTTCAATGTGTTTAGTATTTAAAAATTTAATGAATATATGACAATAATTTTAAACTTTATTTCAAAAATATAATATATTACTATTTTATGAACATGTTTGCTAATTTAACAAATAAAATCTAGTTTATCATAAAAATACACATTTTTTCTATCTCATTATATAATGAAATAATAAAAGAAGTGGTACTTTTAAGTCAGCCAGCCAACCAAACAACCAACCAGATTTGCATTTTGATTAGTTGATTTATAATAAATAGATAAATAGATACAATGATTTGTATATATTTATTATATTCATTGCTTTACTGATTAATTATTGATTTTTAGGTTTTTTTTTGTTCCTAAATCTATAAGTTTTAATTATAATACAATTCAAAATAAGTTAATAACAATCTTCACAAATTATAAAATAGCTAAATAACTTAAAGATAGGTTTTTTTATATAAGATTTTCAATCTTTTGGACTGAAGAATACTCCAGGAATTAGAAGATAGTTTGCTATTTTATTTTAAAGGAAGTAATGGAAAGCTCAAATTCCTCTTAGCTTAATAAAAATATTAGAAAGAATACCAAACCAAGAAACATTTTGATTACATAATGTGTGAAATTAGATTTAAATAGCAGCAGTGATTTATCATTAAAGTTACCTTCGATAAACTCAAACTATGATAACTTAGATAACCTTCAAATGGCTTCAAGATATAACAGCTCAGCTTCAAATATCAACTCAACTAATAATGGATTTGGAAACTTTATTCATTTATTCAAAAAAAACTTTAGCACAACTAAATATGTTCATACTAAACCTTCACATAGAACAAATAATAGTCTTCAAAGTATAGAGTAAGCTAGAGTTACAGGATTTAAAAAAATAAATGAATCGATTCCTCCAAGAGTTACAAGACTTCTTCATGTAAATAAACAATTTAAAAATAAACTATCTGATATTCATTTTAATTTTAAAGAGAAATATTAATTAACTAATAGAAAAAAAGGAAAGAAATAAATAATAGCTAACTATTAAAATTGCTCAACGCATCAATTTAATATCAATAATAACTTTAAACACAACATTAATTATTCTAATAGAATTTTTTTAGTAAAACAAAATACATTTATGACATAGAAACAATTATTTATTATTTATTTAGTTAAATTCTACTATAAAAAAACAATTTGAATATTAAAGTTTGATTAAATTATAACTTTGTTAAATAAATTAGCTACTGAATAAATTATTTAAATGGTAATTAAATTATTTTAGCACAAATAAAGAGTGCTATTTTTAATTTTGTAAAAGCCAATGTAGGATGAAAGAAATTTCAGATTAAATTGTTTTAGTCAATTAGAAATATTTGATAAAAAAGAATAAAGTTTAATAGAGAAAATTTTATTGATTTTAATTGTTTCATAAATAAAGTTTCAATATTTTTTGTTAAAAAGGCTATTGAAGATAGAGATGCCAAATAAAGTAGACAAATACTGACTAAATTCACAAATAAAAATGAAGAAAAGGAATATGTTATGCCAAGACAATTTAATTTAGATTCTTTTAAGCTAGTTAGAAGTGATAAAAATATACCAAAAATTAAAAATCTTATGTGTCATTTCATTAACTCTCACAAGAAGTATTTTAATAAAGAAGTTGTTAAGCTACCACATTATGAAAAATCAGCACCATTCCACATTGAAACCATGTAATTTGCAGATAATTATTTGGATGATCAAAAACTAATCAAAAAGAATTTTAATTACGATGAAGAAAATTTACAAAGAAATAATTTGGTGCTAGAAAAGGTATTACTAGAAAGGTTAATAAAACATGAAAAAAATATTCCAGACAGACCAGATTTAAACACCTTATCAATAATCACATAACATATAAATTGACCTTAAATTCCTCTATGAAACACAAAAAATCCTATTCATTTTAATTTATTAAATGACTTTAAATAAATAAATCAGAATCAAATTAAAGTTTCAAAAATAAAAAAACAAAAATGCTTCTTTAATCAAAATAAATTGAATAGACTTGAAAAACTATATTTATTAAAAATTAATTTATATTTAAAACTTTATTTAGTAATCCTTCGAATGAGTAAATAACCAATTTATAAAAAAATAAATCCTTTCATATTATCTTTTTTATCAGAATTTATAGATAGAAATGTTTATTTATTAAAATCTTTTTTTAATTTTAAAAAATAATAAAAAAATAAATAAAATTGAAAATTTTTGATGAAAAATAATTTTAAATTTTATAAAATAAATAAATTATTTAATAAATAATCATGATAAGAAGAATAAAGAAAGATTCAAAAGGAATTTATATTGTATTTTATTTTAAATTTTTGATTTAATGTTTAATATAAAAATTTTAATGATTAAAAATTTATTTATCAAAATTTCAAGCAAGTTTTTTTAAACTAACAAATTTAACAATAAAAAAATTATCCTATTTAAAATGTGTTTGTTTTATTATCTTTTTAACAATCTTACAAGGTGGTTTTAAAATCTATTTAAATAAATTTATTTGATAAAATTCTTTACAAAGTCAAAGATATTTTGGTATGTTTTAACATTCTGATAATTTCATTGGCCAGCCAACCTAGCTTAATTTTAGAATAAGATTAATTTAAAAATTTAGTAGCATAAAAAAATTTGGATATAGAAGTTTCTACTATTTTTCATTTAATTAATTTTGTTTAATATATAAAGTTTTTTTCTCTAAAGAAATGATTAAAGGAATATCAAAAATTCTAAAGCAATAGGGTTTTTTTTCACTATAGTTGTTAAATAAGGTAGGAGTTGAATATTAGCAGAGGACTTTCTTATTGATTTAAGCTGAATTGCATAAGAAATAGAAGTATTGCTTTGCAAGGCTTAATAAATAAAACAAGCATTTTAATAAATAGCAATAAAAACTAGAAGATTTAGATGATGACTGTTAAGATTAAATTTAAAGCGAGAATTAGCAATAGAATACTGAAAATGAGCAACATTTTGAATTATCAGCAGAGACTTTTGATAAAATATTATATGCAATTAAAGAGAAAGGGGATAGCTTGATTGATGCAGTACGTTAAAGTGATTTAAAAGATAAAATAGAAAACAATGAAATCAAAGATAAGAATGCATTCATTAGTTGCTTAAGAGTGCTTGAAAAATGCCAAATTTAAGACAATCCACTCCGCGAGAGGATATATCAATAAATGAAAAAGCCTGATTTATTTGATGCTCGTTACAGCAATAAAGAACTTGGTGTTATTTTCGAATATTTTATGCAGAAAAGCCAAAAAAAACTTTATTTAATTGAATTAGAAAGCTTCTTTTTATAAAGATTAGACTAATTAGAAGAAAATCATATAAGGCAAATAGTTAAAGTTTATAGTTAAAATTTCAAAGGATCTGTCGAATTTTATGATGCAGTACAAGAAAAGATTTTAAACATAATTGAAAACACAGCTTAAAATAAATTGACTTTTAGCGATATGATGAATGTTTATTTACCAGCTTTTACAAAAGCTAACTACTTCAATTAAAAAATGGAGGGTTACTTTATTAGACAAATAGAATAAAGGCTATTAGCTGAAGAGTATTAATAGTATTTTAATGAAACAATTTTACCTTATGTTCCAAATATTCTTTTCTTTTTTGCTTTGCAGTTTGAATCAACTTAAAGTATGCATGATATTCTCTTAAAGCTTATTAAAATTCACCATCAAAAGGATAGAAACCTTCCATTACATATTTCTAAGCCTCTTAACATATTTTTGAAAGTTTACTCTTTGTTTACAAACAAAGAAATTGATGATTTTTTCATGCCTGCTTTCAGATATAAAAATATGCATGTTTAATCTAGTAAAGTGTAAGAGGAAATCCAACCATATCTTTTGAAATTTATTCCTAAAATTCACTTGAAGGAAAATCATCATATAGATTCTTTTAATGTGGATTTTTTAACACATTTAGATGGTAAAAAAATAGTAGTAGAAGTTAATGGCAGATTTCATTATGTGCATAATAGATATTCAGGTGTTTACTAAATCAAGCATACATGTTTGGAAAAATAAGGATATATTATTATTGAAATTAAAGATTATGATTGGTATGCTCTCAAAGAAAATGAAAAGGAGTTATATATTGCTAAGCTATTATCTCCTTTTATTAAAAAGGCTAATCAATTTTTGGATTAATAAAAATGAATTTGAAGCGGGAAATTCAAGAATGAATTACTTAGAATATTTAAGAAAATACAAATAAATATTATAATTTATTTATACTGAAACTTTCTTTATTAGTTTTTTTTTAACATTTCACATTAAATATATCAAAAATTAAATGCGTATCATATAAAATTAAGTTATATCTTTTAAATTTAATAAATCCAATTATTGTACTAATTTTATACATACTTCGTTTTGTTTAAATTTAAAATAATTGTATCAAGTCAAATGCTTAAATACTATTTATTAATATTTATTTGTGAAAAAGATAAGCAATTTTTAAATCTAAAATGATCTATACAAAAATAAATATATGGTAAGTTATCTATTGTAGATAACAGTTGATTTTATTTCTTGTAATATTGTAATAGAGAGACTCATCTGTTTAAATCTGACTTTTTTTAAATATTAAAAGTGCTAGTTGACGCATAAAGATATAAATTGAAATATTTATAAAAAAAGAAAATAAATAGCGTAGATTTCAAATAAATATTTAATACTTAAAAATCAATACATTTTTGATCTCTTTCAAAATACCATTACTTTTAGTGTTTTTTTAGATAATATTTTGACAATGTTCTTCTTTCTATGAATTAACATTATAAAATAAATAAGCACTTTAAAAAATTTGTTTCTATTTTATATTACTAAAATAATATTTGTTGTATTTCTTGGATGTATTAATAAAAAGGAGAATCTTTTTTTTGATAAGAAAAATAGTAGGAATTATTAAATAATATATGCTTTTAATATTATATATAAAAGTAAGTGAAAAGAAAAGCAATAGTTAAAAAAACTGCTTGTATTATCTACTTCATTTTTAAATAATAAATACAATCCAACTTCAAACTCATCCGAGTAAATAATTATTTTTTTCGAAATTTAGCTATAGCTATATTTTATATAGAAATTTAGTCTATTAATACCATATTTTTGATTATTTTTTTAAATAAATGTTTTTGTAAAAAAAGCTTTTAATTTTTAATATTTTTAATGAATGATAAAAGGATAAAATGGGTGATGAGTAACACAGATATGTTCATTAAGGAACTGGCGAACACGATTACAATGATAATATAACAGATATATAAGATAGAACGATATATTATGGACCAAATGATCCTACCATAAGTGATGATTAAAAAGATGGTAAATATCATGATTTCAATTATGAATTTGGAGCTAATGATTTTCAATAACTTTGTATTGAATTAATGGATACATAAGAATATTCTGATAATTAAATTTAAAATCAAGAAAAAGACTTCTTTAAGTGAATTAACTAAAATAAGAAAATCAAATAAATTGAAATATTTTTAGAACAATCAATAAAATCAGGTAGTCTATAAATAAATTAACAAATCTATACAAAATCAATCAGTCAAAGATAATGAATAAAAAAGTCTATTATAAATATTTATTTATTTATTAGTTTATTAAAAACTAATTATTTTAAAATTAATAAGATTTTAAAATTTAATTCTTTAAGTATACTTTAATAATTAATACATACATACATACATACATACATACATACATACAAATATACTCTCAATTTATGATTGGCAATTTTAGGCTGAAATTTTTATGATATTTTTTTTACATTTTATAATTATTTTCGTTTTCTCAATATCTCTCTCAATAAATAAATAAATTTAAATGTTTTTATTAGCCATTAATTGTTCTATTCATTAAATAGTAAACTTCTTGTAACTATTCTAAAATAATCAATTAACTTTATTATACTTTTTATTTCTTAATTCTTGTAATATGTATTTCAGACGAAATTTACTATGAAAATTTTGCAATTTATTAATTGATCTTCATTTATTTAATTGAATTCTTTTGGTGAAAAATAAATAAAATTTATGATGGATGAGTAGTATTTATAATTTTTAAAAGAGATCAAAAACATTATCTTTGGTGAAAATAATTAAAATGCAACTTAATAAATAATTTTTTCTATCTAAAAATGATGGAATTAATTCAAATAAGTTTGCTGATGATTATATATTAATTGATTTTATGTATGAACTATATTTACGATTTTTCAATATATTGTCTCAAAAATACATAATAATAAAAAAGCATTTTTTCTATATTTTCGATTTTATATTATAAAATTAATTGAATAAAATACAAAAATATTTGATTTTTAATAATTATATTGTCGTTAAGAGTAAGCTGAAGATGAATTAGATAGAAGCTTTTCAAAAACAAAAGATATTTATTTACTTGGAAAAGCTTAAAAAAATTGAATGAAGCTAGAAGCAATTCTATTAATGAGCAGCAAGAAATGATCAGATAGGTTTTGTAGTGTTTAGATTACATTCCAAAAGAAACAAAGACTTATTTGGAATAAAATATAGATTTAATAAAAAGTAGTTATTAAATAAAATAACAAATTAAAAGAACTATTTAAGCAACAATATATATATCTCAAAGCTAAAGGAAAAGTTAGAAACATTAAAAACACTGAATAATAAATGACATTCAGTGAAAATTTTTCAATATTTGTTAAAAAAAATATGAATAAACCTACTATAAAATCAAATCATATTTAACTTCGATAAGAATTCGTTAAATTTAATGAAGATTACCTCTTAAAACCCAAAATATTCCTAATATTACTCAAATTTAAATATGATTAAACCAACCAAGTTTAGGATTAATTATTTTTTGTTTAATATAAATAAAAATTAACTATAAAAATTATTTTTAGGCTATTATTACAGGCAGAACTTCAAGTTTCGTAGGCTTATGATATTAAACCTATTTATTTTATTGATTGGCTAATTTGAAAATTAAACATTTTAGAATGAATAACTTTTCTTTTAAATTATATTTTTCTTATAAATTACATACATTTCTATAAAAGTCAATTATTTTTTAATATTTATATAAACAAAAGCTATTTATTTATTTTTCTAATTTATCTTTATTTAAAAGATTTATGTATCAAAATTAAAACTCTTACATTTTTATTCGCTTCACCTCCCTCCCCTCCCCTATGCCCTTTAAAATAATGAAAAATATAAAAATTCATTATTAAAGATAAAAATTAGTTTTTCAGTGCGGTTTTAAGTAATACCTTATTTCATATCTTTTCTAAAATTTATCATTTGATTCATTTTTCATAAGAATTATATATAAAAAATAAATAGAAAAACTTAAAAACAATGAATACATTATTCATAATAAATATTTTCATCAGTATATTTAAATATATAATAGGAATGTCAAATTTATTTAAAAGGTTGAAAAATTTTTTAATATTAAATTTTTGTTAGAAAATTTTAATAATTTAAAGCAATTAGATTAAAATAAAACTTATTTAACATTCATTAACTTTTTAGTATACTAGTAATTATTCTTTTATCTATTTCATTATTTTTATCTTAATCCATTAAGTTTTTTATAAATTTATTTATATTATCTATCTATAATTTCTAAGATTACAATGTCAAAAATTATTTTTCAAAGTGATTTAACTTACCTTCTAATTCTTTTATAATTTAATAAATTAATTAAATAACTTCAAATTCAATTAAAAATTTACTTTTATATTGGATATCAAAATCGCTACTGTTTAAATCAAGGTTTAAATAGTTATCTGTGAGGCTTACAAATTAGATAGCAGATAATTATTCTTAACTTAGAAGCATTGAAATAGATTTTTTCAAAAAGATTATATCTTCATACATTTGATAGATATCCATGCTTCTTTAAGCTTCTTTATGGATATTTTTTACTTACAAATAATCAATATTCTTGCTTGAAATATGCTGCTTAGATTTTAAAGTCCGTTAAAGTTAAAAGAAATAGTTTGATTTATTTTTATATTATTATATTTTTACCTAAATTTGAAGATTAAATTGCAAATATTTTTCTTCAACTAGCTGTTATTAATTGCTTCCATCCTTGAAGAAATGAATTCCTTAAAAGCTTATCTGACCTAAAACTAATAACTGCTCTCATCACTTACAATTAATTTTTTGGATATAGTTTAATTTATTAATGGAAGGGAAATCTTCTATAAGCTCTACTTATTCTAACTAATAATTGTGCTATTTTAATCTTAAATTTACTAGGCTGAAAAAAATAAATTTGCCTCATATTTATTCAATATTTTGTCATTTTTTTATTTAATTAGCTTTTACTAAAATACCTTTTTATTATGGAATTTTTTTTCTCCATAAGAATTTTATGAATCGTTAATTTCTTATTCATTAATGTCATATTTTTTATTATAAATATAATTTCCTAGATTAGAGTAGTTAGTTTACGAGTATTGTTGATTATCTTTTGAATTTATCAATTCTTTACTTCTTTAATTTTTGATTTCATCTTTTTAAATTATAGAACTTTGAAAATCTAAAATATTTTATTGGGTAAATGAATTTTTAATCTAATTTTATTCAACATAATCTTTAAATTTTGCTTTGAAATTTGGTAAAACTATTGCAGATGGTAAGCTTTCCTATTCTAAATTATCTTCAATATACTCATTTTAAATATTTAAAGATTTTAGATAAAAGTCATTTTTCTATTGTATCATATCATTATGCTTTAGTATTTATTGATTTTTATCTTAGAATAATTTTGTAAGAATTACCATAAAAATGTCTTAGTATATTAGTTTTTTTGAGAAAAATCTTCCAATTATTCTTGAAAAAATAATTATAAAAGTTATACTATTAACTTATGCTAAAACTTCAGTGATTGCTGGATATTAAATTTAGAATTATTGTAAAATTTCATCTAATAAAATGTTCTCTTAGAGGTATGGCCCTAGTCCTTCTTCCAAAGATAACTACCTATCAAAGCTTTATAAGAGTTAATCATACTAAATAGGTGAGGAGTAAGTTTATTAAGTTTGGAAAACTAACCCTTCGCTTACTTAAGTGTTTTATAGCTGTGTTTTTAAAGTGCTGATTATGCATTAACTTGGAGTTAGATAATTGAAGATATTTCTATAATAGGTCTAAATTTTCATGGAAGTTGTATTATATTATTAAGTTTTTAATTTTAAATAAAATTGACCATAAAGACTACTGATAATATTATCTATATCTTACTATTGAGCACAGTTGTCAGGAACAGTAGTTTTTATTTAATCTAAATCACGACAGCCATATAAGCTTATTTATAGTTAGGATATAATCTGCTTATTTGTATCCAAAAGTAAAGTGTAGTTATTACTTAATTTAGAAAAATCAACGCAGTTTAAACCTTAAAGTTAGGGATCAGTGCATTTAACAACGTCCAGATTGACATATTGCATGAAATTGTTAATAGGATCACTATAATAATACTGAGCGTAGTATACTAAATAAGTTACATTTGAGTTTGCTTAAATTTAGTCAATAGTCAAAGTAGCGTTATATTAAAAAGTAAAACCAAGAAGATCTTAAGAAAAGGGCATTTCTAGCTTTTCATTCATAATAAAATTTTATGATCTAAATTTTGGATCTATCTAATTACTTGCATAGAGTACAATTAAGTAAATAAAGTAAGAAAAAATTATGAAAACAGATGCCACTGTAAGAACTGTACCTTACAGGCTGCTCTTTTTAAAGTCTTAACTACCCAAGTTAAAGTAAAATTCAGAAGAGAATAAATCAAATTTAAGCATAAAATAATTAGATAGACTAAGAGATTTTCCTATTTCCTATTAATTTGTTTTAATATGTTTTGTTTTAAAATTATAATTATTAATTTTTACCTTTCTTGATAATTTATCAGCTTTATTTATACTTGCGTGAACCAAAAAAAACTATTCATTAAATAATTAAATTGAATTTCAATAAAATATAAACAAAATTAATTTAATTTTTAAAAATTTCTGGTATTATTAACTTATATTTATATTTATTTCTTTTATTGATTGATTGATGAGTTTTATTTTTTCTCAAAAAAAATTTTATAAATATAATTATAATAAAATATAAGTAATTCACTGGTCATAAATTATTAAACATTAAACTCCTATTTATTATGTTGAGAGAAATATTGTATATTATTATTGCATAATAAAAATGTATGGATATTAATAAATGAAAATAACACAATAAAATATTTTTTATTTCTTATTTTATATAAATAATCAATGATATGCTTACTTTCTTAAAAAAACTGAAATAAAATATATGAAAAATATATTTTCAGTAAAATAAAATAAAAATAATTCACTGTTCATAAATAATTTGCCATTTTAATTGATTATTTATTATTTTTACTGGAATAATGTTTATTATAATTATTATTTTTCTACAATCATGCAAGTATTATAAAATTTTTTATCTATGAATAGATAAGAATAACTTAAAAATATAATTTCAATTTCTTATATTTATTTAAATTGCGATAAATTTATTGAAGAAAATATTTATAAAATATACAGTGAAATGCCTATTTAATTTACAAAAAGCGAAATATAATATATCTGAATAACATAATAAATAAAGCTAAATAAGATTGAAACAGATTTATTTTTGAGTATTTAGAAAGCTATAAATTCGCAAAATGTAAATTTGAAATAATAGACACCCATGTCATTTTTTTTGAAAAAATATTTTTTGAAAATTTTAAAAATTTAATAATCAAAATTGATAAATTTAAGAAATTAATTAAATAGAAAAGATTACAATAATCTATTTGGCATCAATATATAAATATTTTCATTAATATTTTTAAATATATTTATTACATGAATGTCTAATTTAAAATTTTTTAATAAATTTATATTAATTAAAAGCAATTGGATTAAAATATATATTAACATTCATTCACTTTTTAATATACTAGTAATTATTCTTTTGTCTACTTAATTATATTTATCTTATTCAATTAATTTTGTTATAAATTTATTTATATTATCCATCTATAATTACTTAGATTACAATGTCAAAAATTATTTTTCAAAGTGGTTTAATTTATTTTTTATTCCTTTATAATTTAATTATATAATCAAATAACTTTAAATTCAATTTAAAATTTACTTTATATTGGATATAAAAATCGCTACTGTTTAGATCAAAATTTAAATATTTATCTGTGATTATTAATTAATTATTTTAGTTTTAAGATAATTTAATTTATAAAATTTAAGAAAACATAAAATAAAAATTTTATTTTAATCTAAAACATAAAAACAAACAATAAATTTAAAAATAAATTATGAGTAAAATTAAAGTATTAATATATATTTATAAATTAATCAATATATAATTAAATAAAATATGAAAAAGAAAAAACATAAAATTGAATTATCATAAATTTGTTTAAAATTAAATATAAAAACTTATTTATTTATTTATTAATTTATTTTTTTTTTTTTAATTTTACAATAGCTACAGAAAAATATACTGTAAATAGCAATAATATTGATAGTCATAAATATTAATACTCTGTCTGCAATATGTATTTCCTTTATATGATAATAATTTTTAAAAATCTAATTTCAAATTTTCAAAACTCTCCTCTAATTTGACTAGATACTACTAAATTATTCAGCAATTTAAAGGCTTAGATAAAAATATAATCCATATTACTATTAAATAAGCTAGGAATATTCTAAAAAGCATATGATCTTTAGCCCTTTTTACTTATGAAGTGCCTACTAAGAAACTAAAAAAGCAGATGTGATGAATTATTATAATATTTATTTTGAGTTAACTAATAGCTCTGACAAATTAATATCTTTCCTTTAAAATATTAAAATTTTTGGTTACATAAATTTAGGAGAGCTTCTAGAAGTAGAACTTTTGTGGGAAAATATAAAGCAAAATGAAAATCCAACCAACTAAGTGATCATTTAAGGTTATCAACTTGTTCAGCTAAAAAAAGAATCTAAATAAAAAATAGATATATTCAAATAGAGAGAGCTATTTTGAATACCTTACCATAAAAGACTTTTTTTTGACATAAAATTTAAAAATTAATTAAAACTTTTAGCTTTTAAATAAAATTATTCTAATCAAAATTGTATTTTTTAAATTCATTAGTTTGTTTTTAGTTTATTTTATCAAATTTTTGATAGTATATTTTAAGTAAATTAGCTAAAAGATAAGATAGATGTTTTTTGTGACAGAGATAATTAATTAATTAATTAATTATAAAAAAATTTTTAGTTTATAATTAGAGGCTTTATTTATAAGGAAAAATGAATAAAATTTTATAAAAAAGCCTGGGTTTTCTAATAAAAAAACAGTAAAAACCGATGTTTTTACACTAGGCACTTAATAATAGCTTCGCTACTTTAAATTTTGATGTAAAGTATTGTAAAACATGAGGATCAAATAGAGCTTTGCGTTTACTCGAATCACATTTACAGTCAACTTTCGAGTAGGGCAATTAAAATCATTAAGTTAAAGTGAATCGCTTCCCATCATAAGAAAAAGATCATAGTTTTGAAGTTTTCCTCTAAATTAATACAGATGATCAAGTTTAGGTGTGGAGTAAATTAAAAGGAGATGGCTCTTTAGCAGGAGATAATATTCATACTTTGGTTGATAGAGTTGAATAATAAATCAGTTTTTACGAAGACAGATGATGAAAGCAGCGTTTGCCAAACGCAAATATTAAATATGGCCATCCCACAAAAAATGTTTACTAATTAGCAGGTTTTATCTATTGAAAAGTGAATAAATAAATATCTGACTCTAACTAATAAAATAGTCATTCATTTGATTTGTAGGATGTCTTTTCAAATTGAAGTATAACTATTCATAACAAAGAATACAATTTCCTTATTTACCAATGAATGAAAATTTCTAAAGTACTTACTGAGATTTTCATGAATCCTAATACTAATAAGCCAAAAATAGTATTCCTATTATTTATAGTTGCCTTCCTTTGGAAAGTTCTTAGTTTTTTTTGTTTTCTTGTATATTTGTTTGTTTGTTTGCTTGTTTTTTTTGCAACACACATTTTTTAGAATATCAAGTTATAAATAAATAAGAAATTTCCTTAAAATTTCCTTATTTTAATCTATCAATCATGTAATTTAGACTTAACAAAATCTCATAATTTACTTTTATGGTTGGTGGATTATATTTTTAATATTTAAATTAGATTAAATGTAAACATAATTAATTAGTAATTAAATTAATATTTAAGAATTAGTGTAAAATAATACATTTATATAAAGAAAGAGAGCTATAAATAGTAGGTAATAGAATCTTTGGTGCATATATATGAACAAATATATTTATTTTTGAATATAAAATAGATCATAAAGCTAATAAATTAAAAAAGATTTTATATAAATTGATTATCAAATATATTAATGAATATCATTAATTGCTTTTTAAAAATAGGCTTCTTATTATATTATTTCCAATTAATGTTTTAGTTAAATTTTTAATAGAAACTAAATAGCAAATTCATAAATAAATAAATATATTTAAAAACATTAAATTTATTACAGTTTGAAATACAATAAATTAAAAATATATCTATATTATACATGTTAATGAATAGATTATTACTAAAATATATGTTAAATTTCAATACTTTTAGATATATATAAACATAATATTAATTCAAAATCATTAAAATTAAAAATTAAAAAATTTTTAATTCTTAAACTTTTTCACTGTTTTTAATATGGTATAAATATGTGAGAAAGACAATATTTTTTTTGTTTATAATACATTTTTATTGATTTAAAAAAAACCTAATAAACACATTTAAGTATCTTAAAGTTTGTTGGTGATCAGGATTTACTGAAATATTTATTTAATTAATATTCAATTTTGTTTAATTCAAAATTTGTAAATTATTTAAATTTAATTTTTTACTTTTTTTTAATAAAAAAATAAATAAAATGTTTTAGAAAGATTTTTTAATTTTAAAGTGAGAGATAAAATGAGTTAAAATCTTATTATTATAAAATAGATAAAATAATATAAGATCTATAATTGATTTGAAGGATAATTAATATCTTGATTAAGCATTTATTTAATAAGGTCTTGGAAAATGAATGAAATTTTAGTTATTTTATTGTTTTATATCTTTATTAAAAATTAGAAAAAAGATAATTTTGATCAACTTGTTTATTAAGAAAGAAAGAAAAAAGAAAGAATTAAAAGGATAAAGAAAGAAAGAAGTTTTTAAGTTTAGTTTTGAAGGTAAATAAATACAATAAGAAATTAATTAGCTTAATATACAAATTAATTAACCAATTAAATAAATAATCAATCAATAAACATAGAAAAATGGCTGAAGATAGAAAGAAAATTCAAACCCATCGTTTTTACGAATAAAAGTATCCCAAGGAAAATGACTTGGTTGTCGTAAGCAATATGATTCATATTTAAATCAAATAGATAGATTTAGCATTTTTTTAAAATTAAGCTAAGCACTTAGATTAATTTTTTCATTATTTTAAGCAATATTAAATTTATGAATGAATTAAACTTTATTTAATAGAAAATAAAATAGAATTAAAGTTTAAACACATAAATGCAATATAATTTTTATAAATATCAAATAGGTCGAAGTTGTTAAAGTTGAAGAAAACTGCTGTTATGTTTAACTTTTAGAATACAACAGAATCGAAGGTATGATTACCCCAAACGAAATGACCAAGCAAATGTAGTAAAGTATTTAGAAGGTTTTAAAAATTGGTAAATAAGAAGTTGTCCAAGTTCTTAGAGTTGATGAAGAAAAAGGTAAAACTATAAATTTAAATTGAAAACAATTCAAATTGCTTGAAAAATACTTTATGGAATAATTTTCAATCCAAAATGGTAGTTTTTCATTTGCTAATGCAATTACGATTAATAGGATATTAATAAATAAATAAATATTTTATTTAGATTAATAATGAGAATTTGGAATAAAATGAAAACATATTTTTTGAAAAATAAAAAACAAAATAGGTTATATTGATTTAAGTAAGAAGAAAGTTAGAAACAATCAAGATAATGCCTGTTTAGATAGATTCTCTAAGGCTAAGGATATCCATTCAATTTTGATTACTGTCTGCGAATCTCTCCCTTAAGATTGCAGTGTTAAAATTGATGATTTATATACTAAGATTGTTTGGCCTTTATACAAGTTATTCAACCACGCTTATGATGCCTTCAGATTCGCTCTTAACGATGAAACCATCATCACCAAGATTGACATTGCTGCTGAAGTTAAAGAAAAGTTGCTCTAAGTTATTAGAAGACGTTTGAACACTCAACCTATGAGAATCAAGGCTGACTTTGAATTAAGATGCCACGAATACGAAGGTATTGATGCTATTAAGGCTGCTTTACTCGCTGGTGAAGCCAAATCAAGAAATAAATGCGATGTTAAAGTAAAAATAAATAAAAATTTCTTATAAATTATATAAAATATCTCTATCTATCTATTGATGCTAACTTGATAGATGTATCAAATTTATTATTAACTATAAAGATATCTTTTAAATAAATAAATCAATCTATCAATCAATCAATAATAGCTGCCAGTTTTTGTTATTTTTGCAATACATTTTTAACTTTTTGTGTTAATATAATTTTAAATTTTATTCTAGTTTGAAATCATTGGTTCTCCCGTCTATGCTGGTTGCATCGTCACTCAAGACAAAAATTTAGGTATTGAAGTTCTCAACGAAGCTTTGAAGGCTGTTGAAGAAGTTATTATCTCTAAAAAGGGTTCTTACAAGCTTAGAACTGAGGTATTCATTAGATTTTATATTTAGAATTTTAAAAAGTTAAATAAGTATTTTAGAGTTTTAGTCAGATAGAAATAATTAAAATAGGAATTAGATATTTATAAAAAACAATGTTTATTAAAATTAGCTTAGAAATTAATGAAATAGAAATTTAATTTATTTAGAAAAAAATGAAATAGAAAATTAATTTATTTAATTTGTTAATAAAAAATAAATATTAATGTTAATTAATTCATTATAAAAGCCTAAAATTTATGGTGATAAAGCTCAAGATAACTTAGAAATGTTGGAAAAGGCTGAAGAAGAAGACGAAGATGATGAAGATTCTGAAGTCGAAGGTATGGGTGATGACGATGAAGAAGATGAAGAAAACGATAACTGAGTTAATTGATTTGTTGATCCATAAAATATTTAAAAAACAAACACGTGATAAAATAAATAAACAAAGTGTATAAATTAATTAAATAACATTTTTAAAGCACGGCTATATTTATAAGTAATTGAGTAAGAGATGGTTAATTTAAACATGATTGCTATTAAAACTCAATTTCTTGTCAACTAACATGCATAAATAATCAAGAAATAGAATTTATAAATTATTAATTATAATAATTTTTAGCATTTGTATCGATCTATTTTATTTAATCTTTTGTGTATTAAGTTAATCATTTCTACAAAACTGTCATATTTAAATTTGTCATCAAATTATATTTATTTATTTGTTTGTTTGTTTATTGTTTTTTGCATGTTACAATTTATATTCAAAATTGATAGAGTTTAAAGCTTTAATGACTCACTTACAATTATTTCTCAAATTTAGAAGTAATTTGAATTCTAAAAATCTTATTAGATTCTCAATAATTTTTATTATACAAATTTTTTTAATTACTACAACAACACACTTTAAAAGGAATTTTACATTATTTTATCTTTTTTCCTTTACTTTGATAATTAAATATCCAGATAAGGAAGAGAAAAAACTTAATTCGATTATAATTTTTTAGGTTCCATGATGTTTGTGTTTACATTTTTACTTTCTATTTTAAATAGTTTTTAAAATCTTTTTTGATTAGAATTTGTAATTTATTAGCATTTGGTTACAATGAAATAAATCTATTTGATAATGGCCACTCAATTAGTAACCAAATCAAAAAATATTTATATTATTCTAAAATTTAATAAAAAGCTTACATTTTTAAAAACAAATACGCAATCGAGAAAATTATGAAAAACAATATCTAAATTTTTTGATTATTTTTTTTTTAGAAATGATTGAAGAAATAGTTTTTGATTTAGTTTTAGAAAATGAGATTGATTTTAGCTGGGAAGAAAAATCTAAGATAGAAAGAAAAATATTTATTAGCTATAAACTTGAGGTGATTAAAGATTTTTAATAATATTATAAGATAGACGAAGTAAGTCAATAAATTTTAGTTTAATTTATTGATATTAATTTTATAGAAGTTGGTTAAACAAGAAGATTACAGACACACATCAATCAATCAATCTTAACTTTACAAAATATTAAAAAAGAAATTTTACGATCAAAAAAATATCGCAAACGAAATAATTTGGTTGATGAAATATTACTCAGATTTTATTTTTATTTGGCTTAGCTAAATAAAAAAAATTAATAAGCGAACTTGATATTATTATAGATTATTATAGTTCTAAATTACCTGAAAATAAATAGATAATTTATATATTTCATTTCAAGCATTTAAGATTCAACTGAACTGGTAAATATTTTCTTCAATCAGTAAGTATGAATGACAAGCTTTTATAATGAAAGAAAGAAATAAATAAATAAATAAATAAAGATATATTTAAAGCATCAATAAAATCTAATAAGGCCTCAATATCTACTTCTCTTAATAAAGTTATTGGTTGTGAGGCAAATAAATCAATTTGATTGTTTTTTCAAGTTTTGATTTTGTTTGCTTGCTTATTTGCAAATGAATGCATTGTATCACGATATTCATAGATAAATTGTTTAGAAATTACATACGAAGTGATAACTTAAATCGACTTATTAAATGCAATTTTGTTGCCAAAATATAACAAATTTTTAATATAATTCTAAGTTAAAAGGATAATAATTAGTGAAAATATATAATTTCTTTAGCATAGAATAAGCGCACAATCTCCTATCAAGTTTTAGCAAAAATCTTATAGCCACAAATAAAATCATTTTTAAATAAGCATAAAACAAGTTGCAGTTTTATTTGTGTTCAATATAGGCCCAATAATTTAATAGAAATCTTCAAATACCGCATTTTTTAGACAAATAATTTAATTGAATTTCTTAATTAATGGAATACTAAGACGATATTTAAAGGTATTAAATACCCAGATAGCTATTAAGTCTTGATATGATTACTAATATCCAAAAAAGACTCAGAGACTATAAAGTTAGCATTGAGTATATAGTGTAGTTTGTTGTTAAGTCTCAGAAGCACTTTGAAAATCACTTGAATGCGATTAAAGATATGGCTGACTCTTTTAGCTTAAATCCTAATTAAAAGCACATTATGAATGCCAACTCTAACTTTGGAAGATATTCGCTTAACAACCAACCTGTCTTCTCCTAGATAGTCAACATTTTCAAAGAAGCTATTTTCGAAATATTAGAACTAAATCCTGCTTTTTCTAAGGATTCAACAGAGTTCGTTGAACAGATGAATAAGGAGTTAGACGAGGTCTAGTTAAATTACTGCAAGATAGCAAAGGAGTCTATTTTAATATATAAGGAACATGAAAAAGAGTTCTACAACTAGTTCAAAAATTATAAATAGCAATCGAAGGAAACATTAAAAAAAATAGAAGAATACAATAACTGTCTAAACGACCCAAAGTTGCATTACAATCCTAAAGAAAAGCAATTGAAGTGGGAAAAGCTAGAAAAAGAATACAGTTTGCTTGGATAAAAAGAAAATATTTTCTTTGACACCTTAGAGTTGATTCAGACTAACAAAAAAGCACTTGGAATTAATCTCTAAGAGCTTATGCAAAAAAATTAAAAAGGTTTGGTGGAAATAATAAGAATTTTTATATTATATGTAATGAAATCTTCGACTTCATTTGTCCTTTTCTTTTTCTTCTACTCAAACTACTTGCATAAGCAGCTAGAAAAGAATAGTAAATTTCAATGGAGTCCTGAAATCATCCCTCCTCCTCTTTCTTACTCATCCAAAAGTCAACCTTTCGACTCTCAAAGTATTTAATTTTTAAACTTTAAAAAATTTGAATTAGAACATTTCTCTAAAAAAAATTAACTAAGAAAATCGATTTCTACTTAAATTTAAATTAATTACTGGAAAACAAATGTAAAGAAAAGGCAAATTCTATTTAATTCAATTAAATTTTTTGCAATATCTTTTGTTTCTAGAAAAGAAACTTAAATATTAAATAGAATTTTATTCAAATTCAATTTTTCATTTCATTTACTTATTATTAATTTTCAATTGGTTTTTATAATTTGAATTTAATCCATTTAAATTTATTTTTAAAATAAAGATAAATTCCCTAATTTCTTGTATACTAATTACAATCTGACTGACCATTAGTTAGTGGAGTTCTCTGATTATGCCAAGATATACATCCACGATGTAAGAAATATGTTAAATTTAGATTTTATTTAATGATTTATAAATATTATTTAAATTAGATAGAAAAATAGTCTTCAGCTAGATAAAATGAAGTAGTTTTATCTTTGAAATTCTTAGAATCTCTAAGAGACTACTTGGAAGGATGTGCTAAAGGACTTAAAGAGTTATAAGCCAAATTTGATACAAAAACAAAGTAAAATATAGCTTAATTAATGGGAAAAGAAGTAAGCCTTTAGATAAACATCTTATAAAATAACATTGAAATCGCTTCAAGCCAAATAACTAAACACAGCAAAATAGTAAATGCTCAATATGAAAAAATAAAAACTCATCTGCAAAGCCTAAAAGAATGTCATCAAAGAGTTTTTACTGGCTTAAATAAATCCTTGTTTGATCACAATAGAATTAGAGATGAATTTAAAATTGTTCTTTTATACTAAAGCTAGTACCAATATTAATCAGCCTACAATACTGTCCCTAGCTAGAGAAATTATTAGCCACCATAATATATAAATGACCATTACAGAATGAGCCCATAAAGCTCTATTAACTCATAAAACTAGATGTCTCAGCCAAACTTCTAAATTATAAAGAAAAAGATAGTTGATCACCTACCTGTTTTGCAAGAATGCATTATTTTCTTTTTGAATGACTACGAAAAAACAAGTAAAATATATTTTTTCTTTTTTTATGTCAATAATCGACAAATTAAATCAATAATTTAGTTTATTTGGCCAACAAAAAAATCTTAAAATTAAAAGTTTGATAAAATTTGCTAATAATTATTTTAATTTCAAATATTTTTTGTCAATTTATTTTTTCTTTCTTAAAATAATCTAAATATGAAAATTAAAGATTTATTTTAAATAATTTTAATATTTTTTAAAGTTTTTTGATATGGTTTGATTTAAAATGATAAATTTAAACTTAACTTTTTTGATACTTTTAAAATATTTTACAATGAATTTTCAAATTTTATTATTAAATCAATAAAAAAGATAAAAAATAATTAGATTTTTTATGATTAAAAATTTTTAATATTAGAGTTATATCCAAGATATTTGTAATCGAATTTGATTAATATTTTTTTAAATTAGATATTAAAGAATTGAGTGCAATTAGAGAGGGATTAAAAAAATTGGTAGTTCAGATTGAAAACAGCTGTAAAGAGATGGTAGATGAAGTTGAAAAGTAAGAATAAAATAAAAGGAATCTAGAAAATGGTCATCTTATAGGAAATTCTGGTTATTAAACTAGTATTTAAAATAAAGTTGATGAGAGCTCAATTCAAATGTTTGTATAGGAGCTATTAAGAAAAGATGAAGTCTATAAAATTTTATATTCTGATATGGACTAAGATGTATAGAATTTATAAGTGGATTTTTCTAGGCAAACTTATTTCAATCATAATTTAATTGATAATCTAGAACCGCCATCAAGATATAACCAAATTAGTAAATTTACTAGAAGATAGTCTTTATTTGATACATAAGAGGATGAAGAAAATGAGAATTTCCTAAGCTTCTAATCTAATTCTGAAGAAGAAAAGACAGCTAAAAATGACAATTTAGAAGAAATTGGGTATTAAACCTATGGAGATAATTTAATATAAAATTAAAATGGAAATCATCTTTAAAATAATTCGCAACAATAGAATTAACAGTTTAGAAAACTTACTTCTTAAGATAGCTTGTAGTTGAATAAAACTCCTTCTCAAGCACGAAAGCAAGAACTTTAATAGCATGAAGAATTTATTAAAAAAAGAATCTAATGGATTGAGGGCGAAGAACTTAAGCATCATTTTTCTTGTGCTTTCGCTTAAAGTATAAATTTGCAGGGAAGAATTTACATTACAAACAAAAGACTGATTTTCTAAAGCTATTTTAATGGCAACACAATATTTTTTAATGAAACCATTCTAGAAATCCCTAAAGGCGATATTTTGCAAATTCACAAGAAAAAGAATATGCTTTTATTTGATAACGCTATCCAAATCGATGTCGTTAAAGGTAAAATTGCTTAACAAATGATAAATATTTTTTTAAACTTATTTGATTTATTCATTTTTAGTTTTATTTAAAATTATTTAAATTAAAATATTTAATAAAAAACTAGGTTCTTTGTTATTTACTCAATTCATTTATAGAGATGATGCATATAATGCTATATAAAAAGTATTATAGCCTGTAAATATGGTAAGCTAAGCAAGTCCTTAGAGAGGAATTTAGAATTAAGAAGAAAAGAAATAATATGTTTACTAAACTCCAAGTAAAAGTGTAAAATCCAAATCACAAACATCTATTTAAGAAGATAGAGATGAGCCCAGTAATGAAAAAATCCAACAATAAAAAATATAGCGTAAATAAAACATAGAATCTATCATCAAATAAAATGAAACATTCAAATTTGAATTATGTGATGTCATTTTAAAAGGAGAAAATATTACCATTAGGGATGTTTTCTAGGCTTGTTTGGGGGATTTCCAGTATTAGAATCCTTCGACCAACACAGTTTATGATAACTTTTTCTATTATTATATCGAAAACGTAATGAAGTGCTGGAATATACAGATAGAAAAGTGGTCTCCACCACCACCTTAATACTTTTAGTAAGAAATTTAATTTATAAATTCATTTCAAAATATTTTTTATTTATTAATTTAAATTTATTCAGACAACAAAATTATCCCTTCTCTGAAGAAAATGAGAAAAAGAAAGAAAAAGTATAAGATTGGATTGAAATTAGCTAAAGATAAGTTACCTATGACAAAACCATCCCTCTTTCAGGAATGCCTTTCCTTCCTAAGTTTTGCAAAGTCTCTGAAAAACAAAAAATTATTTTTATAAGTCCTGATGAGCTTATATTTGAACTTGAAGCTTACTCTTCTGGAGCTCCCATGACAGACACATTCTATCATTTCATAAGAAATACATTTGTATAATTAACTCCAGACACTGTGAGCTACAAAGTAATTAATAATAAAATATAAATGAATAATTAAATTAAATTAATTATAAATCAAGAACAAATTTTAATTAATCCTTTAGAGATAAGTCAAAATAAAAATTATAAATTTTAATAAATACAGGTTTAAATGGATGTTAGATTCTTAAAAAGCAACTGGTTTAGTGGAACTATTGATTCTTAATCGTAAAAGGAAGGTGTGAAATCAACCTAAGAAATTTATAAAAGCTTTTAAGAAAGATTAACTCAGTTTTTATAAGATAAAAATGAAAAAAGAAGGAATTTAATAGCAAAAAGTGATGCAAACGATGACTCTGATAAAAAAAGCACCCTCAGTATAAAGAAAAAAAGCGCAGCACAAGATTTTTCTCATCAAATCAGAGTACGATAATAATAAGTATTGGACAGTATTGATCCTTACGATAAATACAAACACGACATTATTGACCTTAAGTTTAGTGATCCTGTTAATGGTCTTAAAGTTAATGAAGTTTTTAAAAGTAAATCATTATTTTTTTATTTTTTAAAATATTATAAAATTTCAATTTCTTTTTTTTCTATTTTAAATTTTCCTACTTAAAATAAATTTCATTAATTTTTTTCTTTCTTTCTCATACTTTAAAAAATTTTTATTTCATAAAAATAATTAATTGATTTTTAAAAATAATCCTTAAAAGTAATTTTTGATGATACAATTTCATATTAAGGCTTCTCAGATGTTTATGAATACTTAAAAATTAAAAAATTCAATGATAAAAATTATCAAGCAACTAAGTTTTTACCTCCAGTTCCTTCTTTCATACACGAAGTAAGTAGTTCTGAAGAAGAAATTTTGTAAAAAATTATAAACTCTCCTCATTACAGTGAGAGAGAAATAAAATTCACTCATCCTCTACCTCCTTCTAATATTCCTTTTATGCCTAAAGAATGTCAAGTTAAAGAAGTTCTTAAAGCTTACTATGTATCTGATTAAATGCTTATCCTTAATATAGAAGCATTTACTAGTGGAATCCCTAAAGGTGATTCTTTTAGTGTTAGGGTGAGATATTAATTTGAATAAATTGACCCATTCACTGTATAATTATAATAAAAATCTTACCTACACTTCATGCAAAGCACGTTTCTGTAAGGTTAAATTGAAAGCAACACTATAGAATAGTAGAGAATATCTGCTAAAGTGATTATACCCTTTTTTGAGTAGATTGTTTCTCAATATATTTCAAACAAATAGTAAGTAAACCTTAGCAAATAAATAGCTAGTTAGAATAGTTCTCCAATCAAACAAAGTGATACTTAAAAAAAAGAAAGTTTAAAAGCTGAAATAGAAAACAGAAAAAGAAGAATTCTCTCTTCTATAGAACCTAACGAAAAATACAAACATAAATTGATAGATTACACATTCAACTATTAAAATTAAGCAATCAATTTGCAATAAGTTTTTAATTTCTTCTTCAGCGATTCACTTAAATTTAAAGAATACTCTGATTTTTAGGAATACATAAAAAGAGGTAAAATGGGAGATTATGATTATTAAAGTACTTTGTTTTCTCCTCCTATTCCTAAGTATTTCTAGTTTAAATCATAAAGACTCGATGAAGATCTAATAGCTTCTCCTGATTATAGTGAGAGGGAGGTTAGATTAACTCATCCTTTACCTCCTAGCAATATCCCTTTTATGCCAAAAACTTGTTAAGTAAGAGAAGTAACAAGAGTTTATTGGGTTTCAAACGATACCATAGTTGTCAATTTAGAAGCCTTTACAAGTGGTATACCTAAGGGAGACTCTTTTACTGTTCGTGTTAGAAGTATATTTAAATAAATAGATGAAGAAAATATACACTTCAGCTAATATAGCTATGTTCATTTCTTAGAAAGCACCTTCCTCTAGGGAAAAATAGAGAATGGCACTATTGAGCAATCCCATATAGCTGTTAAAAATTGTGTATTGCCTGCTTATCAAGAAGCATTCTAAATGTATGTCTAGGAATATCTTAGTAATTACCAAATAGATTTTTTCTAAACAGGATTAAATTTTAAGCAAATTAAATCAGACAACATAAAAATATAAAGCATAGATTTGCAAGATGACCTCAACGAAATTTACAGCCAAACTGATGCTGGTAGTATAGTATTAAGATCTCCAACTTTTCGCAGAAACACTTCGCAGTCAAGCAGAAAGAACTCTAAAAAATTAAACAAACCAATATCTACTGCTAATTAAAATGACTAAATAACTCAACTTAACAAAAATATTAGTGATATGAATGATAAAATTAAAATCATCATCGTAGGCTTCGTGTTGATCTATTTATCAACTTTACTCTTCATTCTTATTTTAAAATGAACTAAAATTAAAGTAAAAAAATAAATGAATAAATAAATAAATAATTAAATCTCTCTATTATTTAAATCAATCAAATAATAAACTTGTAATAAATTTTCTTAACTAAATAACTAACTAACTGTCTATAATTCGATTTTGTTTTATTTTATAAATCCTTTTTAAAAATATAATAAGAATTAGCAATAAAAAATTTAATACATTCTTATTCTTTCATACTTTAAATATATTGCTTTAAAAATTTTAGTTTTATTACTCTTTCTTACACTCATTATTAAATTTTAAAAATTTTAGAATTTGTTTCTAATATTGTAAAGATATTTTTTGATTAGATAAGTTTTATTAAATAAGTTATATTTTTCAGAAAGAAAGCACAGCACAAGTTTAAAATAAAATTAAAATCAGTTTTAAAATCTTAACTAATATTTTAATAGATACTTAAATAAATATCTAATATATTCATTTACATATAAATTCCTTTAAATTTTTTTTAAATTAAATTTCAAAAATCATCTAAGTAAACCTTTTATGCTATATGTAAGCAAAGTTATTTAAATAATTTTCCCATTTAGAAGTAAAATTATTATTTAAGTTTACATTATTGTTTACTAATTTTTTTTAAAAAATAAAATTTTTTATCTAAAATAAGTATTGATTTAACTCTAATTAAAAAATAGGAAGATAATTTTTTAATTTTTTATAGATAATCCTACTATTTTTTTTAAACAATTTTATTTATACTTAATAATTTAGATATTTTTTCATTAATTTCACAAATATCATAATTATTTACATTAAAAATACTTATATATTGTTAATCAATATTTATTTTAATTAAATTATGATTTTTTAATATTAATATTTCTACTTTTATTTATTTAATGTTCATTAATACTAATCTAAAATTAATTCATATACAACATAACTTTCTATTTCTACTTAATAGTCATCACCTGGGTAATTAAAGCATACTCCAAAACTATAATTTGTATTTACTAACATATTTTCTTCTTTCATTTAATTAATATTTTTGTAATCAGGATAATCCATAAATAACACTTTTCTTGTCTATACATTTACTCTTATCTCGACAAAATTAATCTAGTCTCTAACTTCATATAAATTCTTTCCTTTTATAATTTTATTTAATCCATAAATATTACCATTAGAATAAAAACAACATTATTCACTGCCCTACCATTGACTATGTATACATTCTGTTTTCATAATTCCAAAACAAATACCACCATTACAATTTAAATATTTGTTAACTTTGCATCTAAATATATAGTTTAAATTAGGTTCCAACTTATTACATGTCATAATTTAACCTTCTAGGTTTGAAGGTTATTTGACTATGTAATGATTATTTTATTTATTTTTTTCTAAAATTAATTTTTAGCTATTAATATAATTTGTTTTAAAAAAATCAATATTTAATTTTAAAGAAGTTAATTATTGAGTTTCTAGAATTGGAAAGTCAACTAATAATTTATCAATAATTTTGTTATTACCAAGTAAACATGATACTATTTAAGAATAATTTTATTATTCTTTTATAGGAGATTAACTGTTATAATAATTGTCTCCAAACTTTAAAGTAAGCTCTGAAATTTTATCTGCTAATTTTTGTAAGTTATTTAGTTGATTCTCATTAAACTTAGAAAAATTTATATTTGTATTATGACCATTTTAGAAAATGTTTTCATTCAAGAATAAATTTTTTATTATTTATTTATAATTATTTGTAACTTCTTTTACATTTTAAATAAACTAAGCACTACAAAAGTTTGTTTTATTTTCAATTAATGAAATTAGATTTTTAATATCTTAGTTAAGCTTTTATTCTTACTCTTCTATTTCATTTTAATTATTCATCGTATTATTTGTTTCTATACTTTTTGTTAAATTTGATATTTCTATGATCTATTGTTCAGTTAGCTGCTCACCAGTTATAGATAATTTATCAGGCAATAAATAATTTGAGAAATCAATATTATTAATAAATGGTAAAATCTAATCAAAATTATTTTATAAATTGTTTAAAAAGTTCTAAGAACAATGATTAAATTTATTTGATATTAAATTCATAAGAATTTATTTTTTTTAATTATTTTGATCATTTCGAATATGATTTGTATTAATATATTCTGATATATTCTTAATCAAATCTACCTAATAGCTTTCTAACTTTTAAAAATCTATTTTAAGTAAGTCTTCATTCAGAAAATCTTTTACATTATATTAGTCAATTATAAGTGATAGATTTTTTATTATTTCCTAGAGTTTACCAAACAATTCTTTAGAGCAGTAATTTAACTAATTACTTATTAATTTTACTATTAACTGACTCGTTGTCATGTCTTTAACTCTCACATTATTCAAATTATCAAATTTAAAATCTTAATTTTAGAAATGTGTGTTTACTTTGATGTCTTAGAAATTTTTGATTACAAACATATCAATTGAATCTAAAAGTTTTAAAATATTCTAATTGACTTCCTAAGCTGTATCAAAGTTAATTAAAGATTAAAAATTTTCAAAGCGATTAACTGTTTCTTACAAAATTTGCTTATAATTATTTTGATTATTAAAAATTCTGCAAATTGTTTCTTTCAGAAGTAAATTTTATTTGTTGAAATCACCATTTAGCTATGTAATAATTTTCTTCAAGTTATCTTTTTCAGCAAATTAGTTGTATTAAATGATAACCTATTCACCTATATTCCATAGAGACTTAGCTTACTGAAGCATTTATTATTCTTTTTCATTGATTCTTTGTTCAATTGATTTTCTTAAATTCTAAAAATATGAAATAATCCTCTATTATAAGCCTTCTACGGAGAAGTCACCTTAAAATATCACTTAGAGTTTCTACTAAAGCTAGTTGTCTCCCTATACAGGCCAATTATGAAAAAGAGTTTTTTCATTTTCTTCAATAAGACTTATAAGATCTAGAGTATTCTAATTAGGATTTTAAGATAGGCATCTGGCGCATTAGAGAAATTGAGTAGAGTTAGGGTTTGTACTTAGAGAAACAATCCAATTCTTAGGATGTTAAGGGCAGCTTCTATATGACTTTGATAATAAGAGTAATTCTTATTCGCTCAAATTAAGGTTTTCAGCAGATAATAATTAATTCATTTTTAATCTGATATGATCTGAAATTCTTTCTTATATTCTTTTCTTTTCTTTCTTTGTTTAGGCACTTTAATTATTCTTATATTTTGAATAAAAATATAAATAATATTTTTAATTATACTAAATGGATTAGCTTTTATCTTAATTTTTAGACAATTTATTATTTAATAACAGAAAAAGTAATAATTGATATAAACAAAAAGAAGGTAGGTATAATATATAAAATATCTTTATTTTGACTGACATTTAGATATTAGAATATTGTTTTAGCTACAAGTTATCATATCTTAAGTAAAAGATTTGAAATTTATTAATTAGTATATTTAATTATTTGAGATTTTAAAGGCTAATATAATAAATCAATAGTTGGATACAAAAAAATATATTTATTTTTACCTATTTTTAAATTTAAATATTGTTAAAAATAAATCTTCCAGGTAATTTTGTCATCAATACACCGATCAGTGTATTTTATTCATTTATCTGTATTTTATAAAAATCATTTCTCTCATAAATACCTCAATTATCTATATTTATCTCTTCATTTAATCGTTTTTTAAATTATCACTCACTTTTCATATCTATTAATATTTAAA